AAATTCGCAAGTCCCTGAGTGGCTATGCGTGTTTCATCGTGTTTCATACAATTTTCATTATCAAATAGTAATAAAATAATTGGGTGTGAATCAAGTGAATCTCTGCAAGAAACTGCCACAAAGTCTATGCTTGGGATCTTTCCAGCCATCTTTTGGCTTGCCATGGCCAGCGGCGCGGCCACAGCCATCAGCGCCGTGATGCACGGTAGAGTTCTGCGGCCAGCTCCAGAGGCCCAAAGAGTCGAATGCTCGCAGCCGAGCGCCTTGGAGCTCCCCGAGGATTGAAACTGGGGAGTTTGCCAACAAACATGGTATGCCACTCAATAAAATGTTGTAAGTATTTCAAGTGAACATGATGTGTTTGGTAAATCCAATGCCATTTCTAGCATCCCCAAGTTATCACCATATTTTATGGGTGGGCTTGAAACCATCCCCAAATTGTAGGTAGGTTTATGGCAATGGGTTTCCCACGTTACAAGGATTTACATGATTTACAGTAGATTTAATTAATATTAAGAGAATTCATGCAAAAAAAAACACCAAAACTACGTAGATACCTTTCCACAAAATCTCCAAACATCCCAAACCATCAGCTGACTGGAAGAAATCAGATCTGGTCTTGCACCCCCTGGCTGTTGAGAGCCATAACCCAGCCAGCCAGTTGCCATATGTTGCCATGCAAGCTGCGCAGTCTCGTGCTCCAAAGAAAAGGAACCGTTGGAGTATGCTGCCGCCAGCCTCAAGGATAGCGCGACATCGGCAGAAAACTGGCATGGGATGGCATGGGCATCAGCAAAGTTCATCACATTTCATGACCTGGGGGAACCTGGTATGGACCAATCTGGCTATGGAAAGACACCAGCCACGCACCAGGCTCTGCCAGGCTGCTCGAACAGAGGGTTGCATGCGGCTGGGTCCTGAGACAACCATGACATGACTGGAACCTGCATCCATGGCCCCATGGCCTACTTGGTTCATCTTGGTTCTACTTTGCCTACTCAAGTCCCGTTTGCAACTACTTTCCTGCATTGGTTGATGCTGCGGGGAGGCACCATTATTATCAACTATTGGTAATGGTACATGCAGCCGCCAACGTAAGATTCTTGATAGCTTCTTGATGCCCTGCCAGTTCGCTGAGCATATCATGAAGTTCCAAGCCAACAGAATGGACAACTGGGAAACGAACATGAGGCTGCGTGGAGAGAATCTACGAATTTGTGTGTGAAGATGTTTGAAATATTGCTTTCAAGACTTCCAACAGCGAACGTTTCAACCTGGAGGAATCTTATTGCCTTTCTCCGATGGTGTGGCTGAGGAGAGTTCCGAAGCTGCAGCTGAGGCGCTTTGCAGCCAGGAAATGTCACCAAGAGGTCGCCCTCCTCAAAAGCATCGCAACCCATGAAGTGAGCATTGAGCGCCTTGGTGTATCTTGGTCCAAGAACCGCCGATCCCCCCAGCTTGGCTCGGCGAGCACTAGACGCCTTTTTTGTTGCTGTTTCAGCCACACGGGTGCAACTCCGAGCATGGGCAGAGCATGGGCAGAGCAGTTCTAGGTCCTTGGTGCTGCGACTCACATCAGCTATCATCAGCTTATCTCAAGCTTCTGGAGCTTGAGCATCTTCAGTTTCCTTCGCATCTACCTCTCTGACTCTCCGAATCATGTCCTCAAAATTCTGTGGTCCAAAGTAACGCGTCATTGTCCATGAGCGTCGCATTTTGGCAGCAAGGAGGCGCATAATGGCCTGACAAACTAGATGGAAAATGATGCAAACATAGAAAGGTAAACTAAAGCAAAATAATCAAACAAATTGTTCTAATACTCAGACGATGTTCGAGATGTTTCATTATTTCACTTCGAATACAGAAGATCGACCTATTTTGGACTCCTTCCAAATCCATCCTGTGTGAAAGACACAAGGCATCCCAAGGCTGTGCCAGTGAATCAGGAACTGGTTATGGACGGCTATGCGGCTATACCTAAATTGCATTGCTTGCATTGCTTACCAACACAGCAACCAATGCAGACAAAAGCGCACGAATTGTGCAGAGACACTTCAACTTCAAATCCGATTGGCACAGAGCAGAACTGCAAAACAAAACCAACAATCACCCTCAAAACAATAGATAACTACACGTTCAATTATTCAGATGATTCAGTGTAGCGGCAGGCGGCGACTTCGGGTTGAGTTGAAATTTGCGTGCGCAGGGTGCGCTCTTATGGGCCTGCCCCAACCCCCAAACAAAAGTGAGCATGCGAGAAATTCAACGCAAGAACAAGCATTTAGTGCAAGTTGCAAACGCAGTGGGGAATCTAGCAAACATTCACAAGCTCGGATTCTAACATTGACTCTCATATGCCATACAATTTCACAAACAGGATACGTTGACCACAGGTGGCAACGTGGCAACGCAGATGTGCACCAAAACATGAACGGAAGGGGACAGTTAGCCAGGACATATCATGAAGCCGACATTGCTTTTCTGGAATATTTGGAAGCCAGCTCGAACACGATTGCGAATGACGTTTGTGTCTGTATGCAGCGCATTGATTTCATGAAGCAGATCCTGTGCGCAGTACACGTCTGATAGACCCTTTCCCAGAGCGATGCATGCTTCAGCAGGCACGTTGCCCATATTCACAACTAGCGTCAAAATGCACAGTTCTCAGTTCACGCAAATAAAATATCTTCCCAACAACCTCTGGAATTGGGAAGCACTGGAAAACATGAAATCATGAATCATGCGTGTTGTTCATAAAACCCCAATGCCACTAGAGGTTTTATGTATTGGGATGTATTGGGTATATCCCTATTTGGGATGACTTAAAAGGACCCCCAGATGGTTGTTCAATGGAATGCTTTACTATTGGTCTGGACCTCCTTGCCTCAAATGCATTTTCTCGCTCCAGTTCTGGGCAAAGCTCATGGAGCTCATCTGGCGACTTCGAAGCGATTTCGTGCAACAGTGGTGGGTACACGTACCAGCACCGCCAAACCTTGCCCATGTCCATGTACTGTTGCAAAGTACTATCAGAAATGCTCTCCAAATACTCCTGGTGCTGAAAAAACAATTGCACATATGAGAGCCAATTTGATGTCATATGAACGGGGCTATGCTGCCACTATTCTATCAATCTTGAAGGATAGAAAATCAAATAAATCATATCTCCAATGCTTATCCATGCTTAAACATGCCTAGGGATTGCGGAAAAGAATGAAATAGAATGAAATAGAATAGAGTAATAGAGTGCATCATAGTATAATTAGATATAATTAGATCCTTTTCAGGAGGGATCGCATATCCAAGAAAAAGCACACATTACGGTAGTACTTGTAATATATGAATACATATTATGACATAACAATATTGCCATTGTCCAACATATTTAGGAAAAAGACATAGAAAACCATTTAACATCATTTATATCAGCATCATTTAACCACCCACCCGGAGTCCATCAAGGTGTCACCCACCATCTCCATGGGCCACTTGATGACAAAGGATGGCAAGTCGATGATTGACTCAAAGGGCAGCTCCCAAAAGTCCGAGAGAACCACAGGGACGCAGTTGGCAAACAAAGCTTCAAAAAATCGCAAGGACCAAGCAGATTTACCTGGCAGAAATTGATTTCAGGGATAAAAGGGAGGTTTTGAGCGGATGAAAAAGACCTAATCCCAACAAAATCCAAGAATGCACGCTGAAAAAAAATCTAACGGCCGAACAAATGTTTTGCTTTTGGATCCTCTTCCCCCAAGAGAAATCAGCTGAACTTCCGCCCGGCGACCTTTGGGAACAAAGCAGAACTTGGCCGAACCCATCACCGCGTGCATCTCTGGAAAGCTGAGATTTTGGGCCACAAAAATCTGGTCCTTTTCCTTCAGCCGTCTGATGGCAGCCCGCACATCAGGCCCACCTTGACTGGGATGTGGACCCCTGGAGGAATCGATGCGGCCAAGAAAAACCGCTAAGCGACTTCGCTCAGCCAGTGGCTTTGCTGCCTGTGACAGGGAGAGAATTTCATGTCGGTGTAAGTAGCCCGGCACGGCAATGTCCCGCCAGGTGTTAAAGCAGGGCTCTTTCATATCTACAACGTCATTGAACAGCCAAGTTTCTGGACTGAGCTGGATGCTCTCAGGAATTTCACTTCGCCAAGAGCGGAAAACACTGGCCGACAAGCCGGAACCAAAGGTGAAAATATGATCCCTTCCGCGATGCCGTTTGAAATATGGCAAAGTTCGAACCATCTCCGTGTACTTGACATCCAGAGTATCCATGGGGAAAAAGCCCCCTTCGAACATACAAATGCTATAGGCAGGGACAAAGAAAAAGTCGGCTTCATCCGGGTCATGGGTCCTTAAAACACACATCGCAGGACATCCAATAAAATACTACATGACATGCATAGTCACAAGCCCCAATCTGTTTGAATTCTAAGCTCCACTCAAATATGGAGATGCCAGAAGCCACTCGTGGATGTGCACCTGAAAGTGCCACAATCAGAATCCATCAGATTGATCAAATACTGCAGTCATGTTTCACGAGACCACACCCTGCAATGCCCTACAACCTTCAGCATCCGCTGCCATGCTGCGGCCCAGCCTCCATACCCCATTGCCCCTTTCCACAGAAAGATGCTCCTTGAGAAAGTTCTCGGATCTGAGGCACCTCTTTACTATAGACATAGATCTGAGGCCTTTTAACGTCCTGGCGCAGATCGAGAGCTTGGGACAGCTTGGTGACAAATCTTGGCATTTCACAACAAAAAAAAGGGATGGCAAGTTCACCGTCCTCAGATCTGTTGTTGCTGATTCGGTTGAGCACGGCCCTTCGTAGGGCGTTGATGCGAGAATCTTTCACCAGCCAATCTGACCTGGAACCGATGGCCAGGTCCCGGAGTCCCCGGAGTCCCCGGAGTCCCCGGATCCCCCGGATCCCGGCGTGCCCCGGCCTGTCCAGGAGATGTGGATGAATCCCACTGGAAAACGCATCCAATTGGGAGAGATAGACTCGTGCAAGGCCCAGGTGAGGTTGCGGTGTCTCAATGAGGTACTTGATGAAGAAAAAGAACACCGAAATGACACCAAATGGACAGTGCATGGCCTTGGTTCCGCAGCCCAATGGGCCCAATGCCGAGATGGCAGGTGACGCACATGGCAATTTGGGTCCAAGCTTCTGCGTTGTCCAACTCGAAAGGATTCTCCAAGCGTGTCACCACCGGCCCAATCACCGCCATGCTTTCTGGAAATGGGATTTGCAATAATTGATACCTCGATCAGCAACAGACATGGCATCGGGATGCATCGGGTTGTTTCTGAAGCTCACCATCTGTACTGAAGTAAGTGGCATTGTGTGCGAAAACTCCCGCCTTGTCACGTCCCAATCAATCCCTTCAGTAGCATTGGCGGTGCGTTCGCAGTTGGGATCGTTCCATATCCTCAGAGACTCACAGATCATCTTCTTCTGGCACAAGAGGAATTTGGGGATCAAGGGCTATTATATCCTGTATACTACGATAAATGGTGGGGAAAAACATCCATTTGCCAGCTATCAATTCAATGGGAATTCATCCTAAAATGGAGGTACTGTACCATATAATCTATATAGTCCATACAAGGACAAATTTTGGGGGTTGCGGTATATCCCCACATAGGCCTTATGTGGGGTTGGTACCTCCAATTTGGGTTCTTGGAATGGCCATTGATCAATTTGGCTCACCAGGGTACCAACCTTTTGACCCTTTTTGGCCATCCATAGGCCACAAAATCAAACGCAGCCCAGTTCCTGTCCGCCTCCTCATCACTTGCCTTGAAACTCTGACCATCCACTGCCAGCGTCACTGGGAGGACAAACACCGCAAGTGAAGCAGCTAGCCATTGCTGCATCTGTGCGCCTACCAATCATCGAGCTCGAATCAGGAAAGTATCGAAGCTTTGTTGAAAGCTTTGTGAAAACGTGTCATTACAACTGATCTGTGAGCATGTTAAGATTGGCCCCCCCAAAAAAAAACGTTTGAATTTTTGAAGGAGGGATTACCGGGGGGAATAATGTGCGATCTTTTCTGCACTCCACAGAATTGACAGAACCAGGGCTTAGAATGCTGGACTATATGTATGTACTGCGGGTGAGTCATGCAGCTCTGAAACTCACATGTTTGTCCCATGATCAAACCATCTCACAGGTAAACAAAGAAGATTTGAGCCAAGCCTGCGGTACATTTTTTGCAGAGTAGGACAAATGTTGAGGAGGAAACTGAACAACAACTCGACTTGGCCCTTCTCTTTCCCCTGCAAGGCCGTCCTCCGAAATGATTCTGGAAAAAAGTGTGCCTTGTTTCATCCTTTTTCCGCAAATCGGGCAGTGATGAAAAAAGAAATCAAAACGTTCGAGTCTGTTTTGATATCACATCCCTGCGAGATTTCAAAGATTTTCAAAGGAAAGTCCCTGGATTGCGGAGCTTCAAATGGATCTCATCAATCTGCTGCAGCACGTCCTCTGATAGGCCAGCATCACCTTCAAAGGCATCGAGATTTTCCTTCAGCTGATCCAGTGTGGTGGCTCCGATAATCACCTCAGCACCGGTCACAAGGCAGACTTCGATGACTTGGCCCTTGGCAGGTGACATCAATCAACAAATTTACATAAGAAAAAGGAAGAAGAAAAGAGTCATCCTCGAGCATATAGAACATAGAAAATTCAAGAACTTATTAAAATGGGAATATCTTTGAAAATCCCGTATTCATCCGTATTCTATGTACTTCAGGATGATTTTACGTTGTTATGACTACAGACTTTGTGGCAGCATCATTGGTAATAGAATCGTCGCTTCGATCTCCATTATTGTTGATTATCCTTGATGTTGTTTCCATGTTTTTCTCGTGTTATTGGTTTTAATATCAGTGTCATGTTATCATTCCCAGTACGACTGCTGTCATTTCACCGATATCGATGTCCTTACTATGGTCATAGTGATATGATCATAGTCATTCATAGTCTAACATAGTCGTTACTTATATTATATATATATATTCGTATATATTTGATTATATTATATTATATTTGTATGTGTGTGTGGGCACAAATAAATAGGATCAATCCAAGGGAATGCCAAGATACCGAGCCATGTTTGCAGTAGGATCTTGTTCGGCACCATCGCGTGGAAAGGTCAGTGAGCGACATGCCAAGTTCGTTCGCAATCTTTGCATAGCCCTCAACGGCTTCCTCCAGCTCTGGAATGCCTTTGGATGGATTCCACCTTGACATAAAGTCGGGATATTTGACATGGCGAGACTCAGCAGGCTTCTTCCCACCACGATACTTTCCAGACAGCAAGCCTCCTGCTAGAATGGAATATGCAAGTAAACCGACATTGAAATTGGAAGCTGCACAGGCTTCCGCTAACTCGTATTCAAAGAGGCGAACTACCAACGAACAAGCATTTTGAATGCTCGCGGGCAACGGCATATCAAGAGCTTTGGCAGCGCGAACCCACTCGCAAACTCCGAAGGTTGTTTCATTCGACACTCCATAAGCCTTGATCTTGCCCTCATCCATCAATTCTTTCAGAGCAGCAGCGGTTTCCTAGCGCGCATCGATTCAAGCGAGACCTGCATTAATAGGTTAACTGCATTTAACTGCTGTGCGCAAACATGCATCTCCCATGTGAAATCTGTGAGACTTTGTTGTGGTTTCCACTCAGTTTCTCCTGCTTCCCCCATATTCGGCTACAGTCACTGATGATACGGACCAGCCTCAATCTTCACAGCCTCCCTTTCATTGGAAGGCTTATACAAGGTTCCTCCAAAGATTGGAACATATCGATCTGGCCAATGGATTTGATATAGGTCCTTGTCTGACTTCAAGTTTGCACGAATTGATAGGGTAACTTGTCACAGCGCGTAGCTATAGTTGCACTCCCATCCAAATACAATGAAATGGAAAACCATATGCAACAAATGAATCAGAGGTACAGGAAAATGCAAGCACATGCAATAACAATAGCCAACACCCAAGCAAACATTCGCTGGCTCTTCCAAGAAGCGATGTAGTCAGTCTTCAAACGGCGAAGCGAAGCCTCGCATGCTTGCCTGTTCTCAAAACATCGAAGGCATCCCAAAACGCAGCACATCCGGTGGCCTAAGAGAATCATGGGTTCCCCATCAATCCCTCATGGAATTTTCATGGATTCCCAATGGAATCGCTATGGAATCGCTATGCCTTATGGATGAGGCATCGGTGCGTCCATCGGGGAAGCTGTCAGCATCGCCCTCCGGCAGAGTTCTGCGAGCTGCCGCACGGCTTTTGGGCCAGTATCCCACCTTGCCACATGGCTCTGAAAACGATGGGTAGACCCATTCCATCCAGTGGATCAACGAGAATCATCGCTGTCAGACAAAAGATGACACCCTACGGTAATCATTCACGTGGCAAGCCCGGGAATCCTCAAAAAACTCAATGGAGGTTTAAAGCTATAGGGGATGATCGATATATAAATGGATGATTTTTCAGCAAGCCATGTTTGATTGCCAGAGGGTAATCCCTCAGAAGCACATGGCGCTGAGGTACGCACAACTTTGGTGGCAAGCACCACCTGGCATGAAAAAAGGGATGAAAACATAGCGGTGTTGAACTTACCCGGAGGGGCAATCATGGCAATCGTCTAGATCGGAAAAACATTGGAATACATTTAGTAAATGGGAGTTTCCATTGCCCTGCTTGATGACCAACGGGTAGGTGAAGTTTGGCCAAGCCCCAGCCAAGCCCCAGCCAAGCCCCAGCCAAGCCCCAGCCATCTCGCTAGATCTCAAATGCTCTCAGTGGGCGCCTTGGAACGTAGCTCGGGGTTCTTGTCAAGCCATGATCCAATGTACTCCTCCGTAGTTCCTGACACCAGCTGGGCCCCAGCACAGGCCAGATCCAGTGACTCGCTATGTCTTGCAGAAATTTCCAGCTGATCCCAAGTCGGCCTGGCCTGGACACCACTTTGGGTCAAAGTTTGGAACTGGGTACATCTCGGCTGTGTCGATAAAGTTCACACCTCTCCTTAACAGCTGAAGGTAAAGCTGATGCTGTGATTGCTGTGTGCACAACTCCACGGCTCGAGCCTGCTGGATTTCATCACCAAAGAGTTTGCATGCTGCGAGTTGATGTTGGACAATGCTGACAATGCCTGATTATATCCAACTACACTCACGAACCTAGGGAAGCCCACTTCTGCCAAGCTTCTCTTTGATTGAATAATCCAATTGTTCATGCGCCTCCTCTTCGCTGTTCTGAACCCCCCATGTCATGGTGCCCAAACATGGCTCAGTCACCTCCAGAGAGCTTGACACAAGCTGTCTGCACTTAAAAGCACGGACTGAAGGGCGCTGTCGTCCTAAAGCGCGGCAGCCATGTGGTCTGAATTGTAGCCAGCATAGCATGGAGTCCAATACGACACGAATCAATATGAATCATGTAATCAAAGTTGCAACCAGGAAAATGAAGCATCATGAAGCATCAACAGGGCTCCACATGGCTCCTCGCTCAACTGGGCACTGCTTATGTTTTGGACCTGGCAGCCTGGGGCTACCGTTTTGGACGTCAAAAACTCCCAGTGCAGCTGAAGCCACGGGATGCTTCCCGAGCACGGCGCGTCAGAAGTCCAGCTGTGAAGAGAACTGCCTCAGTGAGGAAGGCTGGATACCACACTAACCGTTGATGCTAAGAACGCCATTCCAAACACTGCCAGGCTGTAGCTGGAAACTACAAAGGATTACAGAGGTTCAGAGTCCAGTTGTTCAAAGCTGTGTTGATTCAACATATTCATATACATTCATATATTATATCATATATATATATATATTCATATTCATATATATTCAACATATGTCCCAGTCCCAGTTTGCAGTCATGCTGCACATGTCAGTGATGAGCAAGGTCCACCCTGTTGGACACTGCGACTTTGGACACGTTTTGGATGTAGCTGGGTAGAGGGCCCCCCACGTTTTAGTGGAAGTGTCCTGGCTAGCGAATCTGACTCAGAGTTGCATGACGCTTCATATATGTTCATATTATTAGGGGAATATATGAAACAACAATAATTGGATACAACCAACATCAAGCAACCATAAGGAAAATATATTTGGGAATTCACGAGATACAGAACCACCAATATGTATCTCGCATGGTTGCCTTCATCTAGAAGGGGGGAAGATTTGGGGATGGTCCTTTTTTGGCCCGGCGGCATAAATACTCCAGTGATTCTAGGGACTCTAAGCCTGCTTTTGCAGTGGATTTAGCCAAGCATCAAGGGTTTTTTTTCGGCAGCAAATGCTACTGGGCTGCACTCCATGACGGTGCTTGGCTGCAGGATGATTGTGTCAAGTCAAGATAAGTGAAGATAGTCAAGATATCTGCATTGCAGCCAGTTTGCATGCTGGATGCTGAGCTGGGTGGACTTGCTCCACCAATGGACCTGATTTTAGCACATTCTCGAACTGGGAACCACGCGTTCGAAGCTTGAGCCGAAACGGCCAGCAAGCCTAGTTTTCCAGAAATATCAAGGAGTCTTCATCAACTGTGGAGGATATGTGACATTCTATGTGTGTGTTTTTGAAGAAAAGAACTATATGTACACAAAGATATAGGTATGGGTCAAAATCGGGTAGGCCAGAAATTAGACTATGAAATAGTAGGTGCCTATTTACCATATATTATTTTTTCCTTTTTTTCAGTAGCCACTATTCAACGTATCCGAAAATCTGTGGTCCAAAAAACGGCACATTCCCGACATTCCTAGGCGCATCATAGGCGTTCAACTCCCGCTGCGGAACGATCACAGCATGGGGATCCAAAGAATCACCAGCGTCGAAGGATAAAGAGCCCGGGTTGAGCAACAAATGAATCATGGCATCCTGGCGGAAAAAAAAATCTATGGCTGGAGAGTTGGATTTCTATGATGTGGTGCATGTTAGTATATACTTTACATGTACTGTACATATTCATGATATTATACATTATACTCATTATATCATATAGACAATCTGTAAGCACGAGCTATAGCGTCCTGATCTCCAAAGAGAGGCATGTCAGCGTGGCACAGAAGGAAGGCACGCTCCAGGAAGTCCTTATGTTTCACATTGACAGGACTGACAGGATGCATCCAAATCGAGTATGGTATGCAGATGTATACAGTATACAGATGTATGCAGTATACGCCATTTAAGACACATCCCGTTATCATACTAAGTTGGTTATATGTCTCACTCATGTCCCCATTGTTGTGTTCCAAGGCGCAATGCTCCAATCACTGGCGCGAATCAGCCAATTGGCCGAACTGAGCCCCCATCCTGGAAAAGTCTGGAAAATTTAAAAATAGAGTTGAAACCGGATTTATATAAGCTGGATCTATAATTAGGAATCTAAGTGAGACAACAACGCCAGAAACATCCAGGTTTTTCATTGTTTTTTTTTCTTGCAGTTCAGCCCATGAAGCAGAGTAGTCCAGTCCTTCTTCAGTGATCAAAAGGTCAACACCTTGCTCTGGAAGGTTGTTCTCCTCCTGCCAATCATTCCAGCGAGGTTCAACCAAATGCAAACATTCCAGGCGGGAAAGTCTATAAAACTTGCCCTTCCATGCCGGATGTGACCACAAAAAATGCAGGAAACCGGTGCCATTGATGATTGATGCCTCTCACCAAAACATACCAACTAAATCCATCTAAATCCAGTCCCTGACTGAAAACAAAGCATCAACTGGTGATAGCTGGTGCATTGAAATGGGCCCCAGCTGTAGCCGCTGTAGCCTGTCCTCCGCCACCAACGCACAACGTGTGGAGCATCCCAGGTGGGCCGTGCGGGAGGCAGGAGAAGCAGCCAAGGTGGGTGCCACGTCCTCAGAGATCCCAGGGCCCAGGGAGATCTCTGGGGCCCGTTGCGGTGCACCCATGGATTCCATGCAAACAAGGCACGTAGACCTTGGAAAACGCGCGGACAACGCCACGGGATGATGCAGGAGATGTGTCCCTACCCTATGGCCCTATGACATCTGGTTGTTGCCAATGTACACCATCGCTGCGACATGCTTTGACGGAACAAAGAAGGCGATAAATCTGGAAATGTGGAAATGATGTCACCGACTGGTCGTTGACGAGATGCCATGTAGAAGTCATCCTCAAATTCGAGGCAATCACCAACTTCCCAGTGACATCGTCCTCGCTTCCTTCCGACCTGGCTAACCCATAACGAACCCAAAGCCTTTTGGGTATTGTATCCCACCGCCAGATGGCAAAAGCAGGTGAACAAGACATATGGCTAGCTGCTGGGTAAATACCATAAATATAAATGACCTAAGATTTTTGTAAGGTTCCAAGATGTTCAACAATTCATCCAATCCTCCCAGGTCTTGTTTGCAGCTCTGCGACCCCATAGGCTACAAAGCGACAGCCGGGTACTTCTCGACACAGCTGCAAACAGAGCGGGAGCGAAACCGAGATTCCTTGGTTCAAGAGATTGCAAATCTGCAGAAAGGAAACCAGGGTGTTTGCCTTCCAACACAGGCATTCCCCATAGATTTCCCCTCAATCATTCGAGGATTGGTAGTGACAATGGGTCAAAAAACATGAAAAAACATCAAACACACATTGTAGATATTGTAGTAGCTGTTGACCTGACAACCCTTTTCCATTGTACAACGCTCTGCCTCCAGATCCCTATTAGGTGCTGCAGTGGTTCCAAGTAGAACGTCAGGGTCAGCACATTCGGCACCACGTCTCCGCAATGCAGCTGGCTGGGCCCCTTCAGACATAGGCCACATACTCAAGTCAAAGGGGGCCCTGCTGCATGTCATAGGCGGCTGTTGACAGCTACAGCCGACACCTCATGTGTGCACAGGAATGGGGAATGGCGGGGGTACACCATGGTATCCCAGTTTATGGCAGTTAAAGTTATCAGTTATGAGTTATGAATCACGAATGTTATTTTTTGGGGAATGATAACAAATCACGATAATCATGATAAACCACTGGATCTGGGAGTCTCAATTGTACATCATGAGAGCCGCTGAAGTTCCAGACAAATTCTATCACCAAGGCGCCTGTCTCGGCCTCTTCTTGATTCGGCTCAATCTCTGCAGGCTCAGGTTGCCTACCAGGTCAGATTACGTCAGGTTTAGTGATGTTTAGTGGGAACTTCCCAGAAATTCCCAACAAAACGCAGCTAAAGAATCTAAACTTGATTCTTTAAATGCTGGGTCTAAAGGTGAGAACCTGCAAGATTTTTGCCCTCGAGAGGTGCAATCTAAACACCCAGCCGGGAGAGATTCTCAACCCGACCTCGAGGAATTTGCAGCGACGGGCGTCAAGGTGAGCACCAAGAAGGCTCCGTAGCGGGGATCTGTTACCTTTTCACCTTCGGCTGCTTCCTCCAACGCAGCGATCGCAGCCGAATAGCAAATGCCATGGATGCGGCTGCAATGACAGTCCTAAGCGAAATTCAGATTGGACCAATCATGAGGAAAAAACTCCAAAATCATTTTGGGCAGCTATGTTCATTGCTGTTCTGAGACGCACGCTCAATGTCTGGGAAGGCGCTTGAACATGGAATGCCGTCAATCAGGTATAGTGAAGAACTATTCTTTGAGCCAAGCAGCGTTGTTGGTGCGAACAGCCTCAGATGGACGCATTGCTGCGTGGACTCCACTGTCTCAATATAAAACAACAACTTCAAGTTCAGGCAGATTCCATTCCTTCCCCATCAAACGAGACAAGATGCTCTTGCTTCCAGTGTGACTCTGCCAGTGGCAACAGCTTCTTCGGGCACTTCTACTGTGAAGCAGTGATGCAGCCGACAATCGTAGTCACTGTCAGGCTTTGGGTTGCACTCACCTGGGATGCCCCCATGAAGCGACGAAACACTAAAAACATCAAAATGGATCAAAATGGAGAGCCAAAATGAAATCAGGGATATACCGGGATATACCGGGCAACGTACATGCAAGAAACCAACCTTCAAGAACCCACCATGTCTCGAAGCCATTCGAAGTCATCTTTGACCAAACCCATCTCTTATAGGGCACCCCCAAGCAACGCAACCTCCAAATCCACCAGACCTTTGTCAGCGGTGGAGCCAAGGCACCCATGTCTTGACCCCCGATGGTCACGAACGAAAGCCTCTCACTATCCTCCGCCATATCAATCTGTGCCACCCGCAGAGTTGCCACATAGTGCGCTTGAGGGTTCACCCTGACAGTTGTTGACAGAAAGCAGCCATCGTCACTGTTGCAGCTCCCAACGTGGCCCACAAATGACTCCAGCACTTCATCTTCCAAAGGCTCTGTCCCTGCATCATGTCCTCCAAAGGTGTCATACCCTGATGAGTTGCTGGTTGTTTTTCGCTCCGACGTGAACCTGGCATCGCGTCTGGCATATTTGAAGATGATCGAGTCCAATGTTCGGTTCAAATTTGTGATGATGGAATCACAATCGAACCATGCGACCCAATCGTAGAGACCAGAACGTAGGTAGTCTGCAACGAGCTGCAATTTGGAATGTTGAATGTGCACTCCTTTCTCTGGCATAGGATGATCATAGTGCACGTGCACATCATAGCCGTGCAACCTTCCGTAACTACGTCGATTTTCTGGAGTGATATTTCGCAACACCAAAGGGTGTTCTGGAGGATACGCACAAATGGAGACAACAGCAATACGCATTGTTTCAATGCGCAGACTCGGATCAACGTGTGGCAACCGAAGATACCGCCGTTGCTGCTCCTGCTGCAATCGCTCCTGAGGGGAAACTCACAACGCAGCGTCTTGACATCAATCCACACCGAGTCACTCAAATCCATTAAGCCCCAAAACGAGAGAAAGAATGCAATCATGCTTTAAAATTAATAAATTTAATGAACATGCATACACACACACACACATTACATTACATTACAGTACATTACCTCATTACATTACAGTACATTACCTTACGTTACATTACCTTACCTTACATTACATACATACACACAAGTCTAATATGTGGACATGTGTATATATAGATATATTCGCATGAAGCAATGAACATGCGCTTTGATTGCTCATCCCAATCGCTCCTTGAGGATCTTAATCTCGGACACAATGAGGTCCGTGCGAGTGGCCCAATCTCTCGCAGCATCCACTGGCACTCTCAAGGCGTTTCTCAAGGTAAAAACATAGATCAATGCCAGCTGAAGCAAGCGATACGCCCTCCAGTCATCCCCAGCTGCGACATATCGTCTGGCCTGACGAGGGCATGATGGCATGAGCTGCAAGTGCAAATTTATCGTCACAATCGTCACACAATGAGAGAGAGAGAGAGAGCGAGGGAGGGAGGGAGGTGCATGTATTGTTATGTTTCGAAACATGCACCAGGTCTATTCAACTCCGACTCCTGCTGCACTTTCTTTTTGTGTCAATTCATGTGTCTGAGATATGTCTGAGTGTCGGACCAGTAAGTGGTACCCAGCAATCACTCCAACATTGCATTGCAAAATCAAAGATATGTTGGAAGTGCGGTCCGCCATCGACAGAAGCAGTTCTTTCGCCAATTCTTCCCCTTCCTCCGGATCAAAGACTCGCAGTCGTCCATACTCAACCTGCAGCCGCGGGAACTTTGGTATCTTCGGTCTCGAATTACTTTACTTCGTGTGATCCCCACCATGACATTTATACATTTTGTTACTGGCAAATCTTCTGGCATTCTATCTGACATATTTTCTGGCATTCGATCTGGCATTCTATCTGGCATATCTTCTGGCATTCTACCTGGCATATCTTCTGGCAGATGTTCTGGCATATCTTCTGGCAGATGTTCTGGCATATCTTCTGGCATATCTTCTTGCATATGTTCTGGCATATCTTCTGGCATTCCATCTGGCATTCTATCTGGCATATCTTCTGGCATATTATCTGGCAAATCTTCTGGCATTCCATCTGGCATTCTATCTAGCATATCTTCTGGCATATTATCTGGCAAATCTGCTGGCATTCTATCTGGCAAACATTCTGGCACTTTATCTGGCATATCTTCTGGCATTCTATCTGACATTCTACCTGGCATTCTATCTGGCATACTGTACCTTCTGGCATTCTATCTGGCATATCTTCTAACATTCTATCTGGCATATCTTCTGGCACTCTATGTGGCATATCTTTTGGCGTGGATACTCGCGGTTGAGGTCCGGCAGGGAACACTTGGCATGGATACTCGCGGTTGAGGTCCGGCAGGGAACACTGGGCGTGGATGGTCGTGGTTGAGGTCCGGCAGGGAACCCTGGGCGGGGATGGTCGTGGTTGAGGTCCGGCAGGGAACACTGGGCGTGGATGGTCGTGGTTGAGGTCCGGCAGGGAACACTGGGCGTGGATGGTCGTGGTTGAGGTCCGGCAGGGAACACTGGGCGTGGATTGTCGTGGTTGAGGTCCGGCAGGGAACACTGGGCGTGGATGGTCGTGGTTGAGGTCCGGCAGGGAACACTGGGCGTGGATGGTCGTGGTTGAGGTCCGACAGAGAACACTGTGGATCGCGAGTCGCAGTTGAGCAGGAGGACGAGGAGGACAACGAGAGGAGGAGGACAACGAGAGGAGGAGGACAACGAGAGGAGGAGAGGAGAGGAGAGGAGAGGAGAGGAGAGGAGAGGAGAGGAGGAGGAGGAGGACCAGGCAACTGACATAAAATCTAACAACCCTCACCTGGCAGGTGGGGAAAAAAGAAGTTTGTTTGATTTTTTGACTCCATCCCCAAAAAGTAGTAAACTATAAGTAAATTGATGCCAATTGCAAATCTAGTCTAATCCAACCCCCGCAAGAAAAAAATATATGTGTGTATACAGGTTGCTGATAGTAGAGCTGACTATGTCAATGCAAGGGACGAGTTCGCGGAAGGCCGTCCAGGCCCCTCCATCCTGAAACAGCGGAGTCAAGGGGGGATCAACAGATTTCAAGAGATGGCCCTTGGATATCTTGGATCCATTTATGGTTCTGGCTGGAAACCTCGCGGCAGCTGAAGCGCTCGTCAAAGAATGGCACACCCTGACCTTCTTCGACTCGCGCTTTGATGTCCTTGCCCGTGCGGTCACTCGGTTCACCGTTCAGCCCCCAAGAAAGATTGGTTCCAACATGTTCCAACCACCAAAGGCTTCTTTCTTCGTCGGATGTCCTAGGCTAACCACCTAAGACTCTTGACCCCCCAGCTGTCAGCTGACTCTTTGAAATGACAAGTGACCGCAGGGCTTTTTCCGCCGGCTGCAAGGTGAATCGCCGCAAGGGCCAAAAATTGCTGCATCCATACCGTGACACTGCGAAAAGCTTTGGGTGGTTGTCACTGTTGGTATTTTGGGCTGCTGCTGCTGCCAGGTGTTTAGGTCGACGTTTATCGTCTCTTCGCCTTGTTCTTGATCCTCTTTTTGTTGCTGTTGGGGGTGGCTAATTTGTGTGTGTGTGTGATTGCTTTGCTCCCATTGTCGGATGTTCTCCTCCTCCTTTGACTACTCCGAACATGTTTCAGCTCACTATATAGTAGTATCTAGTGCTCTGCAACTCAGTGTATTTGCGGTGACTTATTGGCAATGTGCCCTAAAATCTTGACACAGTTCCAAGATTCTGGGCAAACGCTGCGAAGAGTAGTCACTTTCCAGCGCCAACAAACTGATACGAGAACGGGATCTCATGATTCAAATGCCACTAGGTGGCCACGGATGCTGAGTCCTCTACAACTCCTGGAAAAAGTTCCTTAGATCTCCGTGTCCATGGATTTTGACTGCCTTTCCAGAACAAGTGGACCATGGAGGACCACACGGCGAGAATCGCTACTGACCCAATGCAGCCCAAGGACGCAAGGACCTGTGCATTTCGGCTTGGAAGCCCCAGACTTCGCGAGACCTCAAGGTCTCTGTGTAGAGGAGCAGGCATGAAGCTGTCCCGGTGCAGCTAGGGACCAGGCTGCTTGGTGCCCCACGGATTGTAAAGTGCATGTTGCTTGGAGCTCCTCGTTCTCTTCGAGGATGCCTACCCCAATTAAAATGACAATCAACAATCGAATCATGCTGCAGTACTGGATCGAGGATAAGATCATGTGTATATATATATATGTGATGATAACGATTGATAACGTATTTATATTGCATGGCTGCAAGTCACATTATGCAATCAAGATCAATCAAGCACAAAACTGAAGCAAGCAGTTCATTCCATCGTTTTTCCAAGGCAAACTTCAGACCTCCCAGCTTTGTCAAAGGTTTGCTGCCTATCCACCATGGGACCATGTCCTTCAAGAGTCCGCGGCGCAAACGTGGTCAGTCAAGTGAGTTCGGCTTCACAACTGGCAGAGCGGAGACCGAGTTTCTTCAATCATCTCGCTTCTCAAGAACAAGTTCACCACAGAGTCGTCTAGCCGTCTAGGCGGCCCCACATTTGGCCATCATGTCGTGGATCTTGCTGACTCTAACAATTTTGAAGTGCTGTTTCCTGAGCCATCTTGGATGGGCTTCAACTATCTCCTTCTTAGAAGGCCCGGTGCCCCTGCTGTTCAAGAACATCAGCTGATCCTGTGAACCTGCAGACCACCACGAAGTTGCCTCAGGCTTGTCAGCAGTGACCACACACATCCCAGCCAAGGTTTTTCGCCACAGCATTGAAGCGTCCTGGCCAGTCCTAAGCCCTGCTAGTCGGCTTTGGAATGTGGGATGTTCGAAGCGGCAAAGTGGACATAGAGCGTTGGTGCATGAAGTTGTGCCAAAGGTCCCATGTCTTTCGTGTGGGTGCCATCCAGCAATGTAAACTTGGTGGTGCTTGCCATGTAGATGGCATCACATTGCCAAACACCCAAATGATCGTCAGAGGTGGTCAGGCATGATGCCTCTGAAACACAAGGCCGGAGCTCGGTCACGCCAAGTCACCTTTGTATGCCTTGGCTGGGCTGATGATGAACAAACTATGTGCCTATGTTTAATTTATGCGTATGTATATGCACTACATATAATATATATATATATATATATGTATAATTATATATATATAACGTGTGTGTGTGATATATATGTATATGTGGGTATGTGTCTGTGTGTGCGCCGTTGTAGTGTTGTTCTGCCCATGTGTGTTTGCGTGTGTGTGAGCATGGATGTACAGATGTACAAATGTATAAATACAATACTGCCGCCCGGAAAGATAGATACAGTAGATGCATAGAAAGGTGTGTGACAATATTTTGTGTTTGCACATTGACGGCAAGTTCTGTCCACTTCAGTGAAGTTGCAGGAGGGCGTTGATGAGTAAGGCACGGGCCAGCATTGCGAGGCGACATCGAGAATAATCCCAGGACATCGCTCTTAAAGGATCTGCTTGTGGCGAAGACCATCGAGGACCTATATTGGGACATATTGGGACACCTGTTCCACCAAGTTCCACGTTCATACCTCATCCGCAGATTTTGCGGCGTATGTGCCTTGTTGACCTCATGTCATCTCATGTCCATGTCCGGTGCATTTCTTAATGGTTCTCATCGAGATCGAGATCACCTTGAGACACGCATAGCATCGAGCAGCTGTTCTGCAGAAGCGTCCAGAAGATGGCTGAGTGTTGCGGATCAGCACCAACAACGCAATTAAATCATATTAATTAAATCAATTAATTATATAATTTTATATCTTTGTACTTGCAAAAGAGAAGCGCAAACAGAAGCCATGCCTGTCGCCGGCCCAAAGAGAACCTAAATCCACTGGCAGAAGGTTGAGATCATAGGGCCATAGGGGCCATGGGGCCGGGTGTCCCACTGTGTCGCGCATGTGGGGGACCAGCGAAGGACCCAGTCTTCCCATCGTAGAACCATGGCAGTCGCACCACCTGGGAGCGCGAATGATGTGTGCGACAGCCTGTTCCATACGTTCCATGCACTGCGGAGAAAGAAAAAACTGAGGATTCATACCGTGTCTCCACATGGTGCATCAATGATGCACGTCAGAAGGACCTGAGATGGCCCAACATGGTCTAGCAGTGTTTAGTTTGACTTCAAACACAAGCTCGAAGACAAAGTCACAGGCCACTTCACTATGCAAGGCTCCAACCCCTGCTGGCAGCAGCGCAAAAATACTCTGCAGCTCTGAATCGAAAAGAAGGTTAGCTGGAAAAGGGTCCTTCAAAACACGAGTTCATGTCAGCTGAGAACTCCAAAACGCAAGGGTGCTCACTGTTGCTCTGCGTCCTCTAGTTCTGCTGCCAGAAACCTAGCTTGGCGCCGCTGTTTGGTTGTAAAAACATCGTCGAACCGCGAAAAATTGCCAGAAGTGCAAAAAACACAAAAGTATCAAAAATCAAGAAACTTCTGAAGAGAGAAAAGGGAGCAGCTCAACGTCAATAACATAACGTAGTTTTTTTAAATATTGTTTTAATATTTTTCAGCATCAGGAGACATTGGATACAGCGCCTCTCTGCGACCAAGAGGCGCCCTGTCCAGTTCATCCCTCCGGTCGCTGGTGGTGCAGGTGGTGCAAATTCCGTGGCCCGCAAAAACGAACGCCAGGTTGTCACCTGCAGAGGAGGACTGGCGGGTGGCAAAAGAGGTGCAAATGTGAGCACCGTAGTCACCATAGCTGCACATGTTTTTTTGCCCGGAAAATCCCGGATGATGAGGGAAAATGATGAACAAGGTATGAAATATAGCCGGGCTCCTTTTCCGCGCTTCATTGGCAAGCTCTGTGCCCCTCGGCATCTAGAAAAACATTCCGCTCTGTACATTGAAGTTCAAGGTGACATCTTGCATCAAGCCCATGTATGTGGAAGTTGGTTGAGGTTAGGCGTTTACCGCACACACTTTGGACCAAAGGAACAGATACAAGTGTCCTCTCCCCAAATGATTGAAAGGTTTTCATGGCACTTGGATGTCAAACCTGAGGTGCAGCGCACACCCGAGGATTTGCATTTCGCAAATGATTCCTGGCTAAACATCGACTACAGAAAAGTGTCTCTGAAAATAAGGTACCATAACTCCTGTGATTAATCCTGTCCCTTCCCCCGTAAAGTCGCATAAAAATGCATAAAGTGGCTAGTTGTGGCATCCCCTATTTTCAGAGCCACATGACTTCAGAGCTGCCATTGCACTTCCGGCACCGGAAACTCCAATAGCTTCGTCTCACCTGTCGCCATTGGACCCACGGCCCGGGAACAGGACGTCGAATATCTCGAATGTCATGTCCTTCGGGATCATCATCCCACTGTTAGATACTGTTATAGTCTGTTATAATCTGTTATAGGGATTTGTTTAGCTAGAAAATACTTCCAACATCTTCAAACCAGCAAGTCACATGATTGGTCCAGTCTTACAATCCTCAACTGCCCGCGCTCAGCCTGCTTCTGATCCGCTCAAATGTCAACTCCGCTGGGGGCACCCGGTAATTCCTCAGATATTGGCCCTAAATAAAATAGAACATGATAGAAAAGTCGGACACCTGGAGACTATGGGGAAAACTCTATATACCATCCTGCAAATACATGCCAACACTTTCTCTTCCATCTGGAGGGGTGGCAATAGTTCAAACTGCGGAATCGATGGAACGCTGAAACAACTGGAACTCAGGAAGTACTGCCACAGAACCAAGGGATTAGAAGAATCTATCTCCAAATCAATTTTGTCACTCTAAATTCTACAGTATACACACCGCTGAAAACCAAATGAAACCACGATTTCAAGATGTTGAACATGCAACCCAAAAAAATGGAAAAATCAAAAGATACGATTGGAAGATGTTTCTTGACAAATAAGGACAATAACAAAAAAAATACGAGCATTGCGGCTTCCATCCATCTAAGATCTGGTGTGATCTCAGGAACTAAATTGCCGAGGTGCTGGAAGCACTTCTGGAGCTGGCAGTGCTGCTGGTATGGCGGGGGCTTTGCTGCATAAGCTCAGCGGCATGAAGGTTGGACCATCCAGCAACCGGAAAGCCTCCAGCATCCAACTTAGTAAGTGGTTTATAATTCAAATATAATCCATATAAAATCCATATTATAATCCCACATATAAGTGGGGGTAGTCCATAGTAATTGGGGGTATAAGCCATTTACTAAGTGGGGCCTGCACCCCAAAGTGGGGGATGAAATTGATGGTTGATTCTTGGGATTGGTTGCTCTTGCCTATGAGTTTCAGGAGAGTCTGGCCTCTGCAGCGGTGCTGCCGATGTTGGCTAAACCTGACAGGGAGAATCAAGCATAGGTCAGCGGCCACTGCTGTCTAGAAACTCTGGCTCCAGCAGGACTCCAGCAATACAAAACACCAACATCACAATATGAGACAAGTCACGGCATGTCCACTCAGGAACGCGTCCAATGTCAAGACGTTGACACAAAGCGTCTGCGAAGTGGCAGCAGTTTCGACCGAACACGTTGTAGCTACGTCCAGTCCATTCGGCTTCGAGCTCTGTGATCACACTGGCAATCCTCCGCTTGGATAACTTGGTCGGGGCCATGCGCACGCTCTCTCGAAAATGGTGGGCCGCTTGAAAGAGCGGCGGGGTCCAAAAGACGCCCGTGCCGTCCGCTTTGTACCCATAGGACCATTCCTTCTGACCAATTTGAACGCCAATATGGAAAATCCCTCCAAATTTGACCGGGGAATACTGGTTGGCAAACAAGGCATTCAGCCATTGCACGCCAGCATAGTGAGTGACATCATAGATATTCAGGAGAATTGGAACGTCATGAGGAGCGGACTTCTGGTGCGAGACACCGTGTTCATCAGATTTGGGGGACGGTGTCGGGTTTTGTGAGGATTGCTGGCCATTCTCTGCAGGAGGACTTTGATCATTTTGGTCATGTTCATCACTTTGGTCATTTTGAGAAGCTAAGCTTTCAGAGCTCTCAGATCGCGATCCAGGGCCATCCATGTCTGATTCGCCTCCGCGACTTCGGGACCTCTCACGGCTCTGCTTTGCTGACTTGCCGGGGCTTCCCCTCACTGCCTCGAACCAGAGCTGCTTCAGCCTTTGCTCAATCTGCTGATTGGTATCTTTCAGGGTAGCCTTTGAAGCCATTCTCAAAGCAAACAGCTCTTTGCAGGGCAGGGCTTTGGCTATTCTTGCGGAAGCCTTTCCAGGAAGGTCGTGCAAAGTTAGCCTGGCATCTGCTGCCGGATCTACGTCTTGCTCAATCTTGGCATCCAACTTCTCCCCCTGCTCATCTGATTTTGACTGATTTGCCACGGGCTCATGTTGGGGCAAGGATCCCGACTCCAGGGCAGTGCCCTCCCCGGCCCTATGCACATCAGGATGTCCCTGGTGTTGTTGGAGGTCCACATTTGCATCACAAGGACCCAAGTCGGGCCCAGGGGCATTGCATTCTTTGAGCTCCTGGTTCTTTTCAACTGAGAATTCCAAACATTTCGTATTCGCAACCTCATCGCTGAAGTTGCTCGTCGCACAGCCCTCGGCTGTGATAGACACGTCCTCACGTCAAGTGCGAGTTGAGCTCTGAAAGATTGTGAAAGGCAATCAACCCCACATGGCCAGATTGAAAGAGTATCAAACAAGTATTGACTTTGAAAAACATCCCAGCCAATGGATTCTTAGAGAGTAGCCAAAGTTTAGGTGATCATCCATGATAATCTGCCATTGTTGTGCCATGAAAATGGCACCCAACTAGACACCACCCATATATATATAGGCTATCCTCGAAACCTTGCTCTGGAGCTTGTGCCAATACTTCAAGGTTTCCCATCTGACCTTAGACACCACAAATCATCCACCATTGGTCAAACAAAAGCATGACAAGCAGCAAAACTATGGAAAATGATGAGTACTGTAATTCAACCACCAAACAATAAATCCGATCAATTCTAGCCAGGAAACTGGAAACATCAATCTCCTTGGGAGATTGTGAGGCGTGCGAATTGCTGAGACTCTCCTGGGCTTTTTTTTTGGCTGCGCGACGCGGGATGTGCTCTGCTGACCCGGCCTTGATGGTCGAAAAAAGCGCACAGAGCGCAAGCGCCTGGAGCAGGCCCGAGAAGCTTTCACCAAAATGGCCCCATGAAATCCCATGAGAAATCCCATGAGAAATCCCATGAGAAATCCCATTGAATCCAATCCCATTCAATGAGACGTCCATAAGAATCCTCAACAAATGTCCCCATTGGCACCTCAGCCACTTCTTCTTTCAGACACGTTTGGAGCTGAGCCACTTCCGGCTGCGATCCACCTGGCGCTGGAAATCCGTCGAGAATTCCATGGCATAGAACGGCCAAAAGAATCGAAAGCCCAAGACTAAGAAGTTCAAAATATAGTTCCAGACATTAAGTATCATGATATATCATGATTTACCCTACATCACCTGAAGCAAGAAACATCAAGAAACTGTGAGATGACACATGTGGTAACACGTCCAAAACCACCTGCATAGAGCTTGTCAAACAAATGGGAGTCCTGGTGAACCTCATCGGGCCCGGCTGGGTCGCTGGGTCGCACACGGTTGGGTGCAGAAGGTGGGATGAGGGGAGAGTTGATATATCAATACAGAGCCATAGATACAATCCTGTATACATCACCGTATTGGTAATATAGTAATATTTATCGATAATTTATGTATATAATTATGTGTGTGTGCATGTATCGAATCACATCGAATCATCATAACACACACACACACATATAATATATATAATGCCAATACTTGGAGTTTTGCACCTGAGGCATCTGCCTGTTCTTTGAACGTTTGGGCCTGCCAAAGCGCTTGCCGAACGATCCGCTGCAAGCCCAGCGCCTGTGGACTGCCTCCGAACGGCACTTTGACTCATGATTTTCAGCAAGGCGCGGAGAAAAAAACCATGGAATTGTGATGAATTGTGTGTAGTTTTTGTCTAAACATGTGCGGAGGAGAAAAAAAACAAACTTCAGGAATCTTCAGGAGATTGTCAATGGCGCTGAGTTCTGCAAAGCAGCAGCCAGACTCGCCTGCAGACTTCGACACAGCACCTGTCACCAAGACTTCGGCACGAGTGTCGATCAAAGATGCTGTCGCCTGCCTTGGAGGTTCATCGAACACGTTGCCAGGAAGGGCCGCACGCCTGAGAAAGTATAAAGAGAATTAAAGAGACGCGATCAAACACAAAGGTATGGGAAATGCAATGGAGTCATGTGGAATCGTGATATTGAAGCATGATATGGAAGCTTATGGAATCGTTTTGTATATGATTTTAAATGTATATTTATAAATTTACACTACAGTACACTACAGTAATATACTACAGTATACTACAGTCATCTAAAATGATCTAAAATGTGTATGATGTGCAAACTTCATCAAACTTCAACAGCTTCAACAACGATCACAGCAGAACCTTCTGCTCTGGCGTTGCATCGTCTCCACAGCTCTTCGGATGAAGGTACCGGGGTGAGAGCTTCAGGCTCCATGACGTTCGATGGCGTTCGGCAAGTTCGAAACTTGCCCAGGACTTTTTCTGGGGATTGTAATCTAACCATCATTGGGGGGTTATAACTTAGACCATGAAAATAATATAAAATAATGGTCGCAGGATGGATTGGATAATTCTCAAATGGTTTCCTCATATCCCTGCATTTGCTCAGCGACACTGGTGAGACCACATCTGTGTGAAGAAAGGATGCGCCCCCAGCAGGTTGCCGATCTTTGAGCCAACTGCGGAAGTGCATTGGATGCATTGGATGAACTCATCATGAGATGATCTTGACTGCCATGTGGTAAGCCCAAGAAGTCATCCCAATTGGGATTTATGACTATATTCATGGTGATTTGTGATGATTCAGTGATGATTCAGTGATGATTCAGTGATGATTCAGTGATTTATGAACTTCGAGTTCAGTGAGCTCCTAACTTTCCTGCCAATCTCTACGAACGGCTGGAATGATTCTCCCACCGTGCTGGCCTGGCTGTGCATCTTGGACCAGCCACTCTACGGAGCGCAGGATCTTGGCGAAACAGCGGCTGGGCCCGTTTGGCTGGGACATTTATGGCATTCTAATGGGATTCCAATGGCATTCTAATGGATTCTATTCTATGTGATTTGAGTGGGATATTGGGATGGCTATGACCTACCATGACCTCCATCTTTCCAAATCCATGACTTTCAGCCTGTGGCATCCCGGCAAGCCAGCTGCACCTGGGCAACCCTGGGCACTCCCACATTCCCACGATGTGAGCTCTGTAGGCCTGCACCGTTCAGTTTCTGCCAATCGATACTGCATTTTACATCATTTTACATCATTTTACGGTTTTATCATGTTTTATCTGGTTGGTTCATAAGGATTCCCAGCTCATGGATTATGATAATTCCTATTAGGTCCTACTAAAATAACCAACCAACCGGGCTTTGGCATGGTTTTGCAGCCATCTACCACGCAGCATTTTCACGGTGGGCGGGTAACTCGTCGGCATCGTGTGATGCGGCACTTTTCAAGGATGTGTCTCGACTGTGGGATGGCAACAGCATGATGCTGCTCAAAGAAGCATGTCAATCCTGACCCAAAAAATAGAAACAGTGCAAGTCTTCTGCCGATCACAACTTACAGGGGCTAGCTCGCTACACATTTCATAGCTTGCGGCCCTTGCTTGGCTTGCTGGAAGCTTCAATTCGGAATAAGGGTGCTGGCATTTGTCAACACCATTTTGCAAAGCAGCCCCTGGATAAACAAGATCAAACAAGCATTGATGACAATTCTCATGAAGCATCGCTTTACGATGACTGTGGAAAGAAAGCCCGGCTGCTTGCAGTTGTATGAACAGTGAAACCTGCGCTGATGGCTAATCCTCGGAAGTGAACCATTCCACAAACTCAAAGAACCTCAGTGTGGCCAAGCATTCCAAAAGCATTCCACCGGCCGCGGCCACCCAAGTGAATCCAATCACAAAATCGGCTCCAAATTGACCAGTGGCTCAATCTCGCCACTGCCATCACTGTCCAGCTCCTTAAATGCCTCTGTGCAGAGAGAACAGCTAACAAGAAGGGCGGTTTATCCGTTCTTTGTGGATTTGTACCTGAGAATTGCCATCGTCACTGCAAAAATGATTCGCCAAATGGCTCTTACAAAATCTCCGTTACAATTTATATAGTTGATTTACCCCATTAAAAATGGTGATTCTCCATAGTTTTCTTAGTTTACCAGAGGGTATTTCGGCTTTCCAGCGCTGCCAAATCAGTGCGCTACCTGGCCTGGTCCAGCTCTTCTTCGCTCAGCTCCTCTCCGAGCTTTTCCAGCAGTCCTTTGAGCTCCTGGCGAGGACTTGAATGGAATAAACTGGAATAAATGACCCAACAAAATCATCAAAAAAATTATATCATCCCACATTTTACCATCATGAATTCCAAATGAATGATAATTCAATATAATTCATGGGGTTAATTAATGAAAATCAATTTTATCATCATGGAATCATGGTCAGTCATTTTTCCCCGTTGTTCACCATGAAATTGCCATTTAAGGGGTATACCCAAAATTAAGGACAGAAACCATTCGAGAGATTTGGCTCTTGGTTCCTGGGTCCTGAGCCGGTTGGACCTGCCACAGGACTAGTCCCCTCCTTGACATCAATGTAGCCGCTGCGATCTTCATCGTAAGCATCAAATTCCTCAAAGGCGATGTTAGGCGATGTTATGCGATGTTGGATTGTCAAATACCTGGTGCCGGTAGACATCTCAAGACATCGCAAGACTCTCACATCCTGCCTGCTTTAGGTAGCACAGGTTGTTGAGTTGAATGCCCATCTTGTCTGCCATACCTTGCAGCTCCTCCTTTGACATTTTGTAACCTGGAGGGTCATGCAGGCTGCATATCACTTCTGCGAAGCATCTCCTGTACCCTGTATCTGAGATAGTGGCGTTTGAGGAAGATTTCGTTGATCTCTTCATCCGTCGGACCTTGTTCTTGACGATAGGATGCAAGAACGGATCAAACAAAGGGCACCAGAGGAATTGGAGAGAAGAATCAAAGCAATCCTTCCTTCACACAATCTTCGTGAGTCCTTTTCCTCGCTTTTCTGAGGGCAAAGCCAATATCGTCATCCAACTCCTTAGCTGAACATTGCAATGCTGTGCCACACGGCACTCTGAATACATCCTCTCTTTCACCAGCGAACTTATTCGCAGCCAAGCCCGTGCCGAGCTAGTGTCCTTTTCCAAAACAACTCCCACCAAGCTTCCGAATCGTCTGATCCTCCGGATTCTTCATCTTGATCCTAGGCGCAAAATTAGCACGCAACTTGCGCACACATGGTGCAGAACACCGACAAATCTGTCCAACTTGCTGTGCGCTACCCAGGCAGTCCTTCTTTCCTTCAACGATTTCCTGCAAAGTAGCAAGGCACACTCAGCATGTTCAACCACCTGGAATCCTCGCTTGCCAGTCTACTTCAGCATACTTCAACCTGTTCATCGAACACGGAACTTTCATGAACTTTCAACTTTTATGATATAGAAATAATCTATGTATAAGTGCATCCTAAACATCCAGCGTATATATATATATATTTATTTATTTATTCATTCATTGATTTATTTATTTATTTATATAATATATATATTTATATATGTGTGTGTGTGCTGCAACTAGTTATTCCCATAGGTTTTCCAGTCAGCTAGGTGAAAATCCCACAGGGCAACGCCTCATAGTTGAGCTCTCCAGGCGCTTCATCGCTGCGCGCCGCTGATGTCGGAGCCGCATCCTCTGGACGCGCCCTGAGCGATGCGATGAAAGCGGGGCCGCCAGGGGAAACAAACGTTCAACCGTGAACCATCTAACAGCATGAAGGATTTTTCTGAAAAAACAATGTTATGTAAAAATATATGTATAACATATATGTACATATACATACGAGTATATAGATATAGATACATTCATTTTGTTTATTCAGTTATCCATCCATTCATTTGTTTATTCAGTTATTAGGGTTTGATCATCCAACCATCATACAGCTCCAACATCTCCAAGCATCTGCTCAGCGCCAGGTCCGCTTTGCTGACCTGCGCCAGGGAAGAAACCAGTGAAACCAGTACCATCCAGTAGCCCTCTCCTCCAATCCATGATCAAATGTCTATGTTATATGATTTATGCACTTATAAATTCTATGTGGTATATGATGCGCATGTGCATATATAGAGATATATAAGCACACATATATATATATACAATTATATATATACACCAAATGGAGAAGGATGATGATGCTCATTGCATAGTGTTACATATTAGTACGATCACTTTCATGATTCGTTATTAAGAGACTGGGGCTAAACCAGGAAGCCAGCGAGAAGACTTCCTCTGAGTGGTCTCGTGGCTGTCAGAGGTTTGTCTGAAAATAGTGGATCCCAGAATTTGCTGGTTAATCCTCATTTTCCCCATCAAAATAGCCATTAAATTGGGGTATACGGTATACTATATTTTCCGACACACCCAAATAGCATCAACAAAGCGATCAAACAGGAAGCCCTCCAATACACACCAAAACCTGTTTCTACATACGCACCTTTTGAATCCTTTTGAAGGTTATGCTATCATCGGATATCATCGGTCAGTCCTGAAAAATTGAAAATCCCACCAGGATTGCTATATTTGGCTTACCAACCCAGATCGGCAGCAGTCTACAGCCCTGCAGGCCCTTTTCCAGCATCACAACCTCTTCACAGCGGAGGTGTCTCACTCAGACGTCCACTAAACCAATGGCAACCTCCCGACCGATCAAGTCCATGTTGACACCATGAGCACCAGTGGAGCAAGCAACCGTCCAGCTACCTGCTTCGCTCTGCCGTTGCTGCTGCTGCTACGAAGATCTAGAAGCCCCATGCTGCTGCCCAGGAATCTTCGCCTGCTGTCGCATACGCCTCCTGCACGGGGGCGGCAAGCACAAAGTGCCTAACCGTCAACCAATAGTAAAACGTATAATTTGTATTAATTTGTTACAACCAATTGCCCCTTTTTTCCTGTACAGTCTCATATTTCACTGAACTCTTGTCCGGCCTCACATAAAGACCTTCCCAAAATCAATCAGCAAATAAATGTTATAATTACAATAAATCCGAAAAAGATATTGACTAGATGTTGTATGATGTCTTTGACAAAGACAAACCGAACAATTCGTCCACACCTGAAACTGCCGCTGGGTCTCTGCTTGTCGCAAGAGCTTGGCCATATGCACGGACAAGACGTCTTGAACTTCTGGGAGCGCTGCAGCTTTGACAGCGTCCAAGATCTGAGAAACGTTGCTGTGCTGCTTGGCCTCGAGGCAACCCTCTGTCAATGTTGGTTAAGCCAAGGAGCAAACTGACTAAATGGGCTAAAGATGCCTATAGCACTTGAAGAATAAAATGTGTTTGGCAAAATCCACAGCTGCTTCAGAACATCCAATTCCAAGTCCGCAAGGGCCTCGAGTCATCTTGAGACTCTAAAACAGTACACAAGTTACACATCTGTAGAGTTTTTGAGAGGCAATTTGGGATAGCCAGGTGCCGAAGATGCGACATGCAGCGATAGCCATATTATCAGCCACGTCACGGAGAGCGCACTTTGGGCTCGTCGGAGACCGCGTTGGAGCACTTTGGCACAGCGGCGCCAGGACGCAAAGTCGCTGGCTCGTTCGTCGTCACCCATGGCCCGTGCACTTTGACGCCCCTGAAGCGCCAGATCGTAAACTTTCGAAAGATCAAAGGCATCCAAGCCTTTGACGCAGTGCAAACGAAGCAATACGTCGAAGGCATCTAACAAAGTGCAATCCCGAGATATAGCAGCTTCGCAGTCTTCAAGCACCTTTTGAAAGTCCTTGTGTTGAAGTCTACTGAGTATACTAAGATCTGTCACATCAGCCTCCGGAGAGGAATGAGAGGACAGTCTCACCCGATACATTGCCCGATCAAAATAGAGTTCCCCTCGATCTGGATGTAAAGAGATGGCCTTCTGCAAATGTTCTGCGATGGCAAATTGGTGAAAGCCGTTCTGACCTTGCTGCTTCGCATAGAGCCGCCATGCTTCCGCCTCCAAGCGATCCATCTTTTGCTTCCATGGGTGGCCGGCTTTTTCAGCATCGAGGCCACGCGTTCGTCGGGCGAGTTGGATGGACGTAAAGGCGTGCATGGCATTTTCAAAGGACCCCGAAACCAACAAGGGAACGATACCTGAATCCTCATCATCTTCAGAGTCTGGTGTCCAATGGCTTCCCATTTGAAGCTCAGCTCCTGGATTCTCAGAGTCTGTACTAAGATCCTCAGTACTGAAGGTGAAACTTCCGGAATTCTGAGAATTCTGAGTCTGTGTAGGCCCTGTAGGCCCTGTAGGCTTTGTGCTCGGTTTTGCCTTTGGACCCTGCTTTGAAGCATTGGATCGGCCCCCCGTTTCTCGCTTGGCGTTCCGCGTCGCTGTGCCCTGGGCTTCGTGCGAAAAGGCACTGGCCTGTCGCCGTGCCCATTCCCAAGGCGAGGCTTGGCTGGCCCAGTGCCCGTCTGATCCATGGGGTTCAGGGGGTCCATGGGGTTCACGGGGTCCATGGGGTCCATGGGGTTCACTTTTCATCTCACTTTCTTCACACTGGGACTCCCACTCCCTCTGAACCAGCAGAAACAATGGCTGTACCACTGAGCGTCGATCTTCGGGCTGCTTGTCTGGATGCAGCTCCAATTGTAAGGCTCGCAGGCGTTGCCTCCAACTGAACTTGGTTTGGAAAAGCTTGAGGTGGGCTCATGTGTTTTGTGTGCTTAATGGTTTCTGAACAAGATTCAACAGCCTTGCTGAGCACAACCCCTCGTTGATCCTCGAAGTCTGCGGTTGATATTTAATGATACCTATGAAGTACCCATGACATGACATATCACGCACAATCACACACACACACAGATTTATATACATTTATATATAACTATACAAAACTTGTAATCAAATACCTATGAGGTGCCCGTGATACCTTTAGAATTTCTTCCAGTCGTTAAAACAATGAAAAAGTTTGCTGTCCTGCGGCTGTTGGATGCCAGTCCCTGGATGCTACGGAGCTCTGCAGTCAGTTGCGCCAAGCGCTCCTGGGCCCATTGCTTCGCATCGTTCCGGCGACGTTGCTCTTCCACCTGCTGGGCATGGCAACGTGCGGCCTCCTGTGCCACCTTGAGTTGTTCTTCTCGTTCCTGGGTGCACCAGAAACAGATGGAAACAGAAAGCAACCCGCACAGCAGGATACCAGCAACGGATTTCAGAAAAAAGGAAAATCTGGGAAAATCCGGAAAGCATAGCAACACAACAACACAACAAACATGGCCATGAACCTTCATAAATCAAATGAGGTGGTTTATTTAGAAAAAAAAAAACGTATAAATTTGTTATTGCCGGTTTCACCTTATCGTTTTTTTCTTCCTTATCGTTTTACAGGCTTTCGGCATTCCGTCATAAGAGTCAAGCAGACATGAAGAGGTTCATGCACATGCGGCAGCCATTAAGAAATGATTTGCTCAATTTCCATTGAGCTATGTATTTATTCTTTGTATCGGACATACTTACCTTGGCGGCAACAGCGCTTCTTGGAGCAAATTTACTGTAGCCACATTACGCCAAGACTCTAAAACAAGAATAAAACAAAAATCTTATTTTATCTTATTTTTGTCTTTGGGTCTGACCTGTTGAACACAATTAAGGATATGGTTTCCCTCTTTGAGGCGAATCTCCAGGCGATGGTGTTTGAAGCTGGTTTTCGGGCTAATTGTGTAATCGTTTTTGTTATCGTTTTGATTCTCCCAATCCGTGGTCCGTGGAACATACTTGATCTGTTCATACAAATGCTACAGGCGCAGCAGCAGCTGCATTCTAACTCGGATATCGCTAGAATCACCATGCAGTATCAGTAACATGATGTTAATATATGCTCACAAACAATTTGTATTATACTTGTGGTTATCGTTATTTTTTCTCCCTTATCGTTTTACAGTGAATGGGCTATGTCCAGCAAAAATGGGGACCTGCTTAGCTAAATCTAATTGGCAGCGGTTATTTATTTATTCAAATGAAACAACGAGATAAGGCATCACAATCCACTCACATAGCATGTTGCTGTCAATCCATGGCTCTGCTTCCACCCGCTCTTCCTCTTGCAGCTTCTGCAACTCAGCCAGTTCGCGATGCTTGGCGGCCACTGTGGCGGTATCTTCTCGCTCGGCTCGCGCGACACAACTTAAACCCCTCGCAGCGTCGCACATTTCACACACTGAGAGCGAAACATCGTTGTCCCAGTCACAGTCAAAACAGGTCCATTTTCTTCTGGAAACCATTATTCTTCCAGGTGCATGAATGGCCACACATGGCCACACATTGAGCCAAAGTCTGGCTGCAGAGGAGCTGGGGAACTTATGACCTATTGCCCTGTAGTTTTGAGAACCAGAGATTCACCAACACTTAGTCTGCCTAGTAACTTAGTATGTGATTGCAAAATATTGGGAGCCTTTGGAATTAAACACACATGTGCGGATATTCATGTGTGTGTCGGATACAAAATGACGAGGCGTTTTTGTTCCCTTGTCACAAGTTAGTTTCAATCCTGATGGTGCACGCCACCACACCCGGCCTTGTGCTGTGGTGCCTTCCGTGCGCCGGTGACGTCTGCGCTTGGCAACAGAGGCATTGGCCTTGACAAGTCAGGCACCGGTGAAAGCCACCAGCAAAGTCATAAATTCTCCACGATTCCACCAGTCTTTTGGCGCCTTGTCACGGAGATCTTGCCTCATTCAGCACTCACAGTTGCACAGTTGCACAACAGCAACCAGCAATGCACACATCAATGGCAGAATCCTCTGAATGCTGCTGGTGCCTGGGCCAAGGATGTGCCATGAGTTCTTCTTCATCATCACTGGAATCCTCCTCTCGGCCCAATGCTGCCTTGGTCAAACCAACGTCTTCCTGGGGAAGTAGTGAAGCCTTCGGTTTTCTATGGTTTTCTGGTCTTTTCACCCTGCTGACTTTTGCAAACAAACCTTGACCCGGTTGCCAAGAGACTCTCTGGTTCGGCCCTTGCTCCAAGAAGAAATTGGCGGCAGAAGGTAGCTCGCTAGGCTGAGCAGGGAGAGGTTGCAAAGTGCAACGCACAACGCAAGAAACTCAAACTGCATGGAGTCAACCGCACGTCCCGGCTGTCGCCTTGACCAACGAAACAGGTTGCGTGTTGGGCTTCTTGGGCTGCAGGGCCAAAACCTATCATGTGAATTGCTTGACACACAATGAATTTCTGCCGTTACATCCATTGCATGTTATCATGTTATTCGTATTGATTGTTATTGCAGTTCTTTCATGCCTGATTGCCCACTGTATATTTGTAGTTCCTTAACTCGGAGCTTGTGAGCTGTCCATGGCAGTCCATTTCCTGCATTTCTGCAAATGCCTCACACTTCTGCCCGCAGATGTTCTTGATAACTCGAAAAATTATTGAGCTTTGCCAAGTGCACCAAGCATCTTGTTGGGCGTCTTGAAGTGGCCCTTGTCTCTGGGATCAGGCAAGAAGTCCTTCCACTGGGTCAAGGTCTTCTCGATCTCAGGTGCAGGGCATGTCGTCACTTCAAAAACTGGTTGGTTAAGAACGGGATTTCCGACTCATGAATTGTGATAATCCCCAATATACAGGTATATTTGCATAATTTACAGATCTATTTATAGATTTATATTTATATCTATATGTTCATGAATTGTTCATTAGTACATTGATATTCAAATATATATATATATAATTATATACGTGTGTAGTATAATTCCCGAACTATCAACCAACGGAGGCTTGAAACACTGCTCACATCACTCGCGTTGCGAATTCAGATCACGCAGCTGAGACACGTATGTAAGCCAGCCAAACCTCGGCAATACTCGCTGACGTGACACGCAAGTGAGTCCTGTATGGAGCCATATATCATATATATATATATATGTATATGTGTATATGTGTATATATCATATATATATATGTGTGTGTGTGTATGTATGTCTACATAGCTGAATTTAACGATAAATATTGATAATTGTGACATATTGTGACTAAATACTGTATTTCATGAACACCTTTGCGTCAAACAGTGCGACGACTTCAGCATCATCCATTGGTCCATTGGTCCGGCTGCCGAGATGCAAATTTTCGCCCGTGCTGCCGAACTCTGGAGCTGGGTGCCCGCCAAAGCCACGATTTTCTCGCTCGACTGTCTTGAGAATTGAATGGATCACCGGCCTCAGGGACCAAAACAACAAGCAACAAGCATTGCATGCGGCATCAATATTATCCATCCCCTGATATCATGACAAAGATTGACCAACTATGCGGAACTGTTTTCAACTGGACACATTTGACTGGTCCTATCTGCTGAGTTTGGCCAATCCAGAAACTAGGAAAGTCCAGGAAATTTGGCGCACAGCTTACAGCTTCCTACAAATCGGGAGCACCTGCACCTGTCAATGATCTCGGATTGCTGCGATGCCTAGCCGTCTCTCGGGCGTATGCACCATGATACACCGCAACATAGTGGATTGTATACATAGATATTAGATTATATAGATATAATGGGATATATATATATATATAGGGAGCGAGCGAGGGAGGGAGGGAGGGAGGGGGAGGGAGAGAGAGAGAGAGAGAGATCAGATTTGTCCTTGTGGCAGCTGAGTTTTTGCAAAAGAAAACGAGTTTGGCTCAGAGGAAGACAAACGATATCCGATCGCCTGGAGCTTATTGTCTTCGGTCCCTGCAGCAGTACTTTCGATCTGCGACTTCAAATCCGTGAGAGCTGCGATCCTCTTCTTCTCGCCTTAGCAACGCTGCGACTATCAATATATAATATCAATAACATTCAATAACTATCAATCAATAACTCACTTTGCATCGGAGAAAAAAACAAGAACACGGTAGGCCCTCACTCTCTCTCACATTTAGGTTCACGCTGTCAGCTTCAATTTCTTGCTGGTTGGCCAGTTGTTCCTGCAATTCTGCTTGTCTTCCATCCATACTTGAACGTGCGAACCCAAAAACCAGCCAATTGGATTCCAATTGGCACATATCCCAAGTATCCAAAGATATCCCAAGATATCCCTTAAGATATCCCTTAAGATCTCCCTTAAGATCTCCCAATAAAAGGTCCTTTAGCTGGCGATTCTGCTTGTCAAGCGCTTCGATTTCCCGGTTCAGGGCGTTGACGTAGGTCAGCAGGCTGAAGTTGCGCTGCTCCAGGGCAACAAAAATCTTCACCTCGGGAAACAAGAACGAAAAAGTGACCATCAAAGGAAAAACAAATGCCAGATGTTGATTTTTATATATGATCACACGTGTATATTATAACATTTTGTAACAATGACCTCTCTCTCCACATCACCATCACTATACCAAGATGGTATGCCATACAGTTCAGTCATCTCAACCAAGTTGCGATTTCTTCAATGTCCGAAATGCCGGTAGTTGACTTGATCGTTGCAAAAGCCTGAGGATGAATCGGATAAGTTTCGATTGCAGAGGCGAATTGCAACACGTGAAAGTTAGCGGCAGCGGCCTGCTCAAACACTTCGATGTTCTTCTGATGTTGCCGAATATGCCTATCACAGGGAGTGACATGCAAGCCCTATGTGAAAAACATGAAGAAACATGAAGAAACAGGGCAAGACTGTTCCTGGGCCCACCTCCGCTGAATGGCATTCAAAAATGCCAATTTCAGGATTCGACGCATCACAAGCGTTGAATTGAAGTGTTCCTCCTCATCAGCCTGCGAAAACTGGCTGATTGGACAAGGACAGTAAGAGGTGCTCGCACCAAACGCGGAAAAGGGCGAGACTGAAACCTGCAGCACTGATGAGGTAGTACAATGTGTGCTCAAGGCCTTCAAGCTGCGAGTCTTGCTGCCCTTTCCATCCATCTCTTCCTTTTTATCCGACTCCTCACAAACAGGTCCAATGTATTCTGCTCATCTCACAATGCTCAAAAAGGCGAGAGGGAAATGTTGCGCAGCTACCCAGCTCCTTGACCATCTTCACTCTTTCTTTAAGCTCATACTGCTCTCTTTCTTTGTACTGCACTTTGAGCCTGAGCAAGTTCGGCGAATCGCCAAGAGTGCAAAACTCCATAAAACTCCAAGGCTGTGCTGAGGAGATGGCTCTTGGACCTTCCGCTTAAAGGCTTTCCTCTCTTCCTCAACCTGAGCAAAACAAAGCCATTCCCATGGCCATGAATCAATGAATTTTCGTTAATGTCACTAACCAAGTACACGCACACATGTATTTATATATATAATATTGTATCAATTTGTCGCTATTTTGAGGGTAACCTTCCCAATTGATAGTCAAGGTCATAAATCTAGAGTTGACAATGTTTGTCAATCCAGGGTTGGCATTAATGCAGTGACATGCAATGACTGGTGTTCCATTCTGGCACCAAAAAAAAGGCGCAAATGGTCGTCAAGTCCTGGCAGTCGCCTGCTTCTTCAGCGCAGCCATTTTGTGAATCCGCTCCTCCTGCTCCCGTCGCCTTGGCCACAACGAAAAACAGGACATCTGCAACCTGGATCAACCATGAACCGAGAACCCCAATGGATCGCTGATCCAGACAAGCATCGCTGCGTCGCTTTCACGATGGATTTGGGACACCATACCTTGGTCAAAAGAGTGCAGTGAGTCAACGCTGTGAGAGTATGTAAAACTCAGCCGCCCCTGTGCATGTGAACAAAAGGGACTGGAACTTAATTTCTAGTGATTCTAGTGGTTTCCCATTGTTCCCTTCATACTTCCTCAGAGCGACTCATATTGTCTTTGATGTCCTCAGCAGAAAGCATCAAACATATTCAAAGATATCATTTTGGAACGCTGCAGTTTCTTGCAGTTTTTGCAACTGAGCCCAGTGCATTTTGCAGCTTTTTGAAGACCTGCAAAGGAAAAAGCTCAAACTACCATCTTGCCAGAAATTGTATTGTTAAAGCCCCACACTGGACGGCGCAGTTGGATATAAGATATATATAGATATATAAACAGTTTATTATAAAGATCATAAACTCACTTTTTGTTGTTTTTAATTGTTGTTTTGTTCCTCAGTGGATGTTTCATAAACCGTCACTCAAATGGTAGCCACTGGCTGCCCATCGGCCTGGATCAGCTGCAGCCTCTCTCGGCGAACGACATCTATTCGATTGCGGCACTCTGCATTCTCCTGAGCGGCGTTCAAGGACCGAAAACGGAAGGCCATGGAGTGCCAGCTCAATAACGATTTTAAACGGAGGTTCATCGGGTAGAAAATACATGAACATACAGTACTTCGAAATACAGTTTTATGATATTATAGGTGCAGAATATGCGCATTTCGTCGTTGTTCTGAACTCAAGCCGGAGTATGCAGGCAAGCATCATGTCCAAGCAAATTAAGTTGGCTGATTGCTTTCGCCAGTCTGTTCTCCAGCTTTTTGAGGGGGACTCCCTGGCCATCTTTCTGCACTTTCAGAGTTTTCTCATTGCACTCTGCTCTCATCCTGGACGCATCCTGGTCAGCCATCTTGGTTTTCGCGTTGAACATATTGCAACATATTGCAACATATCCCCACAGAGCAACTCCCCACAGCTCATTGTCCTCATCCAACTTGTTTAGTCGCCTCTTCTCAAGCTCTAGCCTGTTGGATTGAACCGCACTGGCGCATTGTACTATATACTAAGAGCAGGCGATCGAGGCTAGAGTCTGAAGAGAACTGAGATGCTGACTTCCTGGTAGTCGACTCAATCTCATTGTGCATCCCTTGCATGGGAGTTAATGGCTCAAACTTGCTCCAACAAGGACATTTGGCAAGGGAAAACATCTCTACCGCCACAGCTGCCAAGCAACGTTGCAGGTGATCTTGCAAATACCTAAGAAGTCGAAGAAATACCGGGATCGAAAAAAATCCGCACAGGTCATTTTCTTTGGAATGACGCCAAGATTTCGATGAACTCTCTTGATAGCTTTATGGTGACATCACATGGTTGTGCCCAGCGGCGCTTGATGCGCAGGTAGGGCCCTCTGTGTGGCCATCCGGACCGTGGTATCGCCATCGTTGCTGTCTTGCCGCTGCATTTTACCTTGGCCAAGACTTTGGCATGCCAGGTGCAAACGGGGCGATTCCCACCACTTACTGGGATAGAATTTGATATAATTGGAGATATCATCAAATATCATCAGATATCATCAAGTATCATCAAGTATCATCATATATCATTCCCAGTCGGCCTGGTATGGCCTGGTAAATCGGAGAATCAACTCACCAATGTCTGGGATCCATCTTGAGGCAAGCTGCTGCACACGGAGCCAGCAGGAGAGTGAGCAAAAAGTTGAGATGTGAAGAAATTGACTTAACATTGAAACATATTGAAATAATCGAGTTGCTGTGACTGCAGAGTAGATTTTACACTAGAATGCCTGTTTGCCCTTCGATTTGAGCCGACATCCTAGCAAAGAGTAGCATATCTACGCCTGACTGAACTGGCAAAGTGCTTTGGCACATGTAGTGTTGAATTAGTGTTGCTATGTTTTCAAGTGGTCAGTTCTCTCTCCTCCATAGGCAGTGCAAATTGAACCATCCACTGTCTGCAGCTGCGAGCCTAACTTCAAGTCGCTAAGCCGACGCACAGTGAAACCAAAGCTCTTGAGTAGTTGCTCCTGGGCACCATGGCTACACCAGTGAAACCATGCCCAAGGTACAGCTTGGAGCTTGGCACTTCCAGGGAGATGAACTGAACCTGACGGAAGCATAAGGCTCCCGACATAGAACTGGGCATCGTTTTCCGGAGCATCCAGTGCATGGTCTGACCTGGAAGGTCCGTTGCTTTTGCATCAGGCGAAAGGCCAGGGTCTAGGCAAAGCACCATTGTCCAACTTGGATCAAACCTTTTGAGGGAAAATTCATGCAAATTCCCCTCAGCCGCCTTTTTGTTTTCTTACTGCTTCTTTAAATGGGTCAGGGAAGCTGTCCAAGATATGATATACATTGATATACTCCTTATTTATTTGAAACCACTCTTCGGTCTCAAATCCAAATGGATGGCACACGAGCTTGCAGGCAAGTCTCTGTGGGTAGCTGCAACTCCTGAGATTGTGAGTCAACGGTTTATGGGCCTCCCAACTGGCACCTTGAAAGGGGAACCCCCTAGGTTTGCGTGGGGCAGTTTCACGAACGTTCCATGAGGGCACATAGATCATCATATATCATAGATGGCTCATGATAAGTTTACAATGGTTTACAATGGTTTACACTAGTCCTTCCAACCAAATTTGTCTCTGGTCGTATGTGTATGTGTATATATATATATATATATGTGTGTATATATATATATAATTATATATATATGTGTGTGTGTATGTGTGTATGTATGTATGTGCCAGACTGTTGGGGCCTCCCAGAATCCCGGGATAGCCATGACAGTGCATCAAAGGTACACGACCAATCCTTTGCACGCTTTCATTGCCTTTCATGGAAGCATTGAGAGCCTCCAGACAAGCATCAAACATGAAAAGTATGAAGGAAAAAATGAGCAGCTCTGAGCACTGCCATTGGCAAACCCTGTGCAATCCAAACCTTGTTGATCAAGTTGAAGGCGCCATTCTTGCACTGCTCCGCACTGCTTTTCGATCACCAATGGCTTCGGGTGAGGGGAGAGCGAGACCGAAGGACATGGTGATGCCTCTGCGTCCATAGCAATGCAAAACCGGGGGGACAACGCCTTTGCAGTGGTTGGCGATTTGAACTCTGAGTCACTCAGATTGATCGATTCATCAGCAACCATAGTGTGGGACATCAGCAAGCTGCCTTTTTACTGAAGAACGCTAGAGATGCTTTCGCGAAAGGACACAAAGGAATCGAGCGGGACAGCTACCACATGAAATACATGAACAAATCAACATGGGCAGCGAGGAAAATAACATAGGTTCTGACATGCCCCAAGTACCTTAAAATTTTAAAACTGTCCCGTTTTGGAGCAGTTTGTGGAGCAGTTGGGCCACCTCTCAGTCAATCGGCGGCAATTCCTCTGCCACTTCAGTGTCCCCCGGACCGGTCTTCGGTCGCCAAGGAGGCGGTAAGAACTCGGCATCACTCGCTTCCCTCATCAGTTGGAGCAGCCAGCCGTTGGTGCCACGCAGCTTTTTCAGTTCGTTCTTTGGGACTTTCGGATCCTGGACATCACTCACCTTAACCTCACTGACATCTTGAAGCCACTTCGACTGCATCTTCCCAAGGCGCAGTCGCAAGGATTCGTCGCTTTCGACTCCGACTGATGCACTCGATGTGGCACATGGACCACCCTCACCTTGTTTCAAGGTGCCAAGGCCCAAGGTCATGCTGACACCGAGCTTCGTTGCTTCATCCTGAAGACCGCTGGGAAGTTCCAGTTTTCGCCGGAAGGGCCTAGAAAAACCCAAAGGGCCAACGCGAACGAAGCTCTCTCGCTCTGGTTGCTCTGGCTGCTTGGGTTGCTCAGGTTGGTCAGGTTGCTCTGCAGGCGTAGTGGACCTTGCAGAGAAGAAGGACGTGTCTGAGCTGCGCTTCGGTCCTATGTCCATTTCTGTGATTGCACTCGTCTCTGGCTGTTGGGCGTCCAGCTTCAAACCTGCTTGTGGCATGTGCGTCACCGAAGTGCGGCTAGCTGAAGCCATTGGAAAATCAGCAGGGGTCGCAGCCTCCGAGGCGGACAGGGGCGGAAGTGGTTTAGTGCCACCAGCCTCAGCTGGAGCCTCTTGGGGCCCTCCGGGCATATCCAGAAGAAACGCATCGACTTTGTCTGCGCGGGACTTTTGTAGCATCGAAACGGATGATACGGATGTTGATGATGTTGGCCCAGACGAGATTTTTTGCAAACCTGTGTCAGGCCAACGGCTCACTAGGTTCCCAAGTGGGAGATTATCATTGGGTTCACAAAAGCATTGATAGTTCCCCCTACGAGCTACACCCAAACATGCCAACGTCATGCATCGTCTATCACTAGATGCCACATCACTTCACCCTGCCTCGGACGCCGAGTTCTTGCACAGCTTTGCGTTCGCCCACATTGGCATTCAGCTCTCCGATCCTGGGAGCGAGCAGAACCTAACATACAAATTTCCTCTTGGGCCAAGCTGGAAAGTTGCGATTAGAACACAAACACGCCAAGAGATCCAAAAGTCTATCTGATGAAGAATGGAAGAATGACATTAACTTCACAAAATGCGGAGAATGAGGCCCGTCCCTCTTGGAAGCTTGTTCAAATGACAAAGTGTCCAAGGTATACAGTACAGGCGGTTGTGAATCGAATTTTGGCCGCCACCACTTGCGATTCGACGGAACATGACTCGATATGAAGTGACCTGTTGTTAAGCTACATAGCTAGCCGAAAGTCAAGGCTAATCATTGGCTAATCTCAGCAATTGGTGCCTTCTTCAAGCAGTCCCAGGTCAGATGGCAAGGCACCTGTCCAACAGCCGCTGCGACTGAGAAGACAGCATGCTTCGCATGAGGGATGGGAGAAAGTACCTGGTCGAGGTGAGATCAGCAACCATTTGCTTTGATGGCTCCGCTTACCGGTTCTTCAGATTCTCAATTCCATCAGTTCATAGCTCATATGCATTTCCTTTGCCACCTTTGCACACCAACACATCACCTACGTCTACTTTCGATCATTGAGTCTGTGTATATCCGTGCAAGCAAGATGCTGAAGCATGCTACTAGATAATTGCACGCGGGCCATGGCCACAACTTTTGTCTTGCTCTTCGGCTGTCGACTGTCTCGAACCTCAAGCAGCGTCGAGACAGCAGGCCATGTGCAAAGATCACCCGGACACTACGCGCCACAGAACTGTTCTGCCAAGCGGCCATGCCTGTTCCAAACGCAGCCGGCTTGAAACAGCCTCAAGCAGTTTGAAGCTAGAAGAATAGCAAAGGAATGTGGGAAGGAAATCTGGTACCATGATGGTATCAATCATGAAACAAAAGTGAAAGTGAAGACACTGGGGGGCCAAATTGGGCCAAAGGCATGCCTTCTCTCTTGTCCTAAGGAAAGTGATGGGAGAATCTTGCGGCTCCGGCCTTCATGGGGTGGCAAGCCTTCCCGTGAAACAGCTGCGGGTTGCCACAAAATAACATAGCTCCACAGTGCATTTGCTTCCTTAGTTGGTATGGCCATTGCCACATCTTGCCACTGCCAGTGTAGAAAGCCGGCGGATGCATGTTCAAGCAGCATCTGCCCTTTCCACGCTACAGAGCAATGCAGACCGAATTGCCACAGAAAGAAGAACAAACACCATCAAACCGCGTTGAAAGCTGTTGAATCAAATTAGCTAAGTGTCACATTCAACAAGATTCCTATCATACGCTTGCTGCGCATCCCACAACAGGAAATCTTCTGCAGCCAAACCCATGAGGCCTTCAAGTCTGAAGGACACAAAACTGTGGCCCTGCGACTTGTACTTCTTCATGCTTTGCCCGACAACATCATCCCACTTGGCACGCTGCAGTGGGTCGTCTACCAATGCATACACCGCTTCAATGGGCGCATCCAGGGTGACTTCGCAGCGCGCACGTTCCACCGGAAGTCCTGGCCTTGCCTCGTCCGTCTCGGTCAGCCGGTACACCGTGAGGTCAGAGATGGTCTCCTTCTCCCAGCTATCCGCGTCCGGTGGATTCAGGGTCCAGCTCAGGAGCTCTCGTAACTCAGATGCACTCACTGGCACATCATTCTTCCGCGAGGGCAATAGAGGCAGGCCGGGAAGGCCAGGGGCAGAAAGGGTGCGCATGTCATGCCGCTTCGGTCTGTTTAGCTTCCCAACTCTTGAGCCAAGTCAAAAGCAGGCCAGTTCAGTTTTTGTGCGGACAAATCAAGTGCATGATGCTTCGCCTTGAAAGCATCGCAGAACGCTCAGGAACACTCCACAGAAGGAACCATACCCGGAACTGACTGCACCACACAATGGCTTTCCGTTCGCAAAAGAGCAGCAGGATTTTTTTGTTCAGGGCACTTTGCAGCATCCTAGGCTGGCTGCAGAAGTCATACATATGCGCGTCATATATAATTCCAGTCCGGGTTTTGTGGTGCCTTTTCCACTGAGAAAGAACCTTTGATTAGAATCTTCCAGTAGCGATGCTGACTTGCAAGAACATGTGCCCGGCACCCCCCAGCTATTGTACCATCACTGTGCAACGGAACTCTAGGCTGAATTATTGCTCCGACGGTCCATGGCAGCAGTCATGCAGATGGAGCGAGGTATGGCTTTGGCGCTGCTCATTATGGCGCCAAACAAATGCCAAACCTGGAACTCAAGCACCTCCTTTGAGACATGCTTTCTTCTGCTTCTGCCGCCGCTTCTTTTCTCCGCGATCACACAGGTGGCAGAATGAGCATGCGGCACCATTGAGACAACCTTTCGCGTAAAAGAAACCGCAGGGTTTGCAGGTCCCAAAAGCATGTCCGGCTGATCCAACGCTCGGAAGTTCTTTCGTTCCATGTGGTTTGGGCGCATGCGGCCCCAATGAACTGGCGGTTTGGCCCGTGCCAAGGATGGGACCGGCAGGTGCTGGACCGGCCGGTACGGATGGCACGAAAGCCACAGGACCGATGGCGCCAACCGTGTGGGATCTCGCTGGATTCAATGGATTCATATCTCCACCCGTGGAGGAGTAGGCTGTTGGAAGCATATAGGTACTTTGACCCCGTCCACGTTGATCTCCAATGACTCCCAGGGCACGTCCAGTGCCCTGTGATCGCCCCATGGACAAAGGAACTTGTGGAACTTGTAGCCCAGCATCAGCTTGAGCTGCAGCTGCTTGTACTTCAAGGGCATTCTCTAGGCGAATCACAGGACGGGAGAACTCCTCCTGCGCTGGACAGAATGTTCCAATGTGTTTAGGGCCCCTGTTTCCAGGAATGCCAATCATTCCGGATCGCAGGTTTTTGCTTCCGGAAGACTTTTGGTCGACAAGTGAAACCAGAATCCCCAGCCCTAAACTCCGGAACTTTCTGGATCCTGTCCCCTTCTCCCAACATGTTGAAAGGATCAGACTGATAAAACGTGATGAAACACAATGAGTCATGATGAAACTCATTCACAACTGAAGCGGGTCCTTTTGCTTCAGCACTGGAGGGGGGTGAGTTGGCGGAGCTGGCGGTGTTGGGGGTCGATTCTTCTGATCCTCGAGCAAATCTTCAATCCATCCTATTTTGCTGGCAGGGCACGACAGCACAGGCCGGTCAGCATCTTCAGCTGCTGGACTCGCTACATGGATGAAGGTATTCCGAACTTCAACAGCTTCAGGTGGATAAGCAGGAAAGTCCTCAAGCAAAATAAAAAGGGAGCATGGGTCGGTATATAGGCTTGATCACTGAATGGAAGAAACTGCGTGACTGTGAAGTGTACATTCCTACTTGATTCGTTTCAAGGACTACACAACAGAAGAAGAGTCCACTGAAACGAGCAGCAACGAAAACCTTTTTGATTGATGCTGAGAGACAGATTCAAGTTCAGGAAGGGAAATCTCCAGACTTGGCCACTCTCTGCGGTCCAGCAGTGCTGAATTGTTGTCACTGGGGCCAATAGGTGCTTGCCGTTCTGCGAACACGTCGCCAAAGACAGGGCTTCTGCCAGAATCAAATTGAAACGATGCCATGAGGCTGGGGCGAACTACTTTCGACTGTCAACTTTGAGCCGCTGGAAGCAACAAACAGCCACGTATGACAACATCTCATGAAGCTCTGATGGTACTAATTCTGTTCTACCCCTGCTGCCGCTCAAGCAGTATTGTACAACCTGGGGCCTTGAAAGAATAGCAGAAAGCTTAGGAAAGCTCCACAGAAAACGCAACACTTGTGTTGACTCCAAGGCACGGCAGCTTTCCATTCCCGAAAGAGCAGCCGGATATGTGTTTTTTCTTTCAGGCCACTTTGCAGCATCCTAGGCTGGCTGCAGAAGTCGTACATATGCGCGTCACATATAATTCCAGTCCGGGTTTTGTGGTGCCTTCTCCAGGATAAACCACAAATTCATTACTTTCTGACTGAGCAGGATCTCCAAACAACAATGCTGATTTGCAAGAACGGTACCTCGGCACCCCCCAGCTATTGATAGCTGTTGTACCAACACTGTGCAACGGAACTCTAAGCTGAATTTCTGCTCTGGCGATCCATGGAAGCAGTCATGCACTGGGAGCAAGGTATGGCTTTGGCGCTCATTATGTCGCCAACCTAATGCCAAACCTGCAACTCAAGCACCTCCTTTAAAAGATGCTTTCTTCTGCTTCTGCCGCCGCTTCTTCTCTCCGCGATCACACAGGTGGCAGAATGAGCATGTGGTGCCATTGAGACAACCTTTGGCATAAAAGAAAGCACAGGGTCTGCAGGTCCCAAAAGCATGTCCGGCTGATCCAACGCTCGGAAGTTCTTTCGTTCCATGTGGTTTGGGCGCATGCGGCCCCAATGAACTTGTGGCTTGGCCCGCGCTAAGGGGGCGAGCAGGCGGTGGACCGGCTGGAGGGGCTTGTGCGGAAGCCACAGGGCCAATGGCACCCATTTGGGATCTGCCTGCTGGATTCATGTCTCCACCTGTTGTGCTGTTCGCTTCAAACGGACACCATGTGGATCTAGGAGCATCTGTGGAGGAGTAGGCTGTTGGAAGCATATAGGTACTTTGACCCCGTCCACGTTGATCTCCAATGACTCCCAGGGCACGTCCAGTGCCCTGTGATCGCCCCATGGACAAAGGAACTTGTGGAACTTGTAGCCCAGCATCAGCTTGAGCTGCAGCTGTTTGTGCTTCAAGGGCATTCTCTAGGCGGATCACAAGGCGAGGAAACTCCTCCTGCAGTGCCCCCATCAAACAGAGATGAAAGGAAACAACTGCACAGTGATGAACTCTTTAGCACAATACAAAATTTTCTTTCAACCAGTGGAACCGAATCCCTGGCCCTAAACTCCAGAACTTTCTGGTCCTCTTCGCGTAACAGGCGTAACAAGTTGAAAGGATCAAATTCATCCGTGTTTCAAGACCGGCCAAATAAAAAAATAGAAGGGTGTTTTCTTCGAGTGATCCCCAGCCTGACACATTATTCTAACATAGTTTCTGACATACCATCTGGAAGTATTTCTTGGACATCTCTTCTGACATTCTTTCTGGCATACACTCTGACATTCTTTCTGGCATTCTACCTGGCATCTACTCCTTGACATTCTCTGGGGCATTATGTCTGGCGTCTATTCTGGCATTCTCTCCGCCATGGGCACTGCCGGACGGACCTCAACCGCAAGCGCCAGATCTCAGTAGGCACTGCCAGACCGCCAAACCCCAAACGCGAGTTCCAGAACTCGCGGTTGAGGTCCGGCAGTGCCCACTGAGATCTGGTGCCCACTGAGATCTGGCGCTCTTGGTTGAGGTCTGGCAGTGCCCGCGGTTGGGGACCGGCCCCACCGAAATCACGGTTGGGGTTCGGCAGTGCCCACTGAGATCTGGCGCTTGCGGTTGAGGTCCGGCAGTGCCCGCTGAGATCTGGCGCTCTTGGTTGCAGTATGTTGAGGTCTGGCAGTACCCACTGAGATCTGGCGCTCTTGGTTGAAGTCCGGCAGTGCCCACCGAGATCTGGCGCTTGCGGTTGAGGTCCGGCAGTGCCCGCTGAGATCTGGCGCTCTTGGTTGCAGTATGTTGAGGTCTGGCAGTACCCACTGAGATCTGGCGCTCTTGGTTGAGGTCCGGCAATGCCCACCGAGATCTGGCGCTCGCGGTTGGGGTCCGGCAGAGATTTGGAGCTCGCGGTTGAGGTCCGGCAGCAGTGCCCACTGAGATCGCGGTTGAGGTTCGGCAGTGCTCACTGAGATCTGGCGCTGGCGGTCGAGGTCCGGCAGTGCCCACTGAGATCTGAAGCTCACGGTTGAGGTCCGGCAGTGCCCACTGAGATCTGGAGCTCGCAGTTGCGATCCTAGGCAGGAAGGAGGAAGGGAGAAGGAAAGGAAGAAGGAGAAGGCAACTCTGATAAAATCTAGAGACCCTCAGCTGGCAGGTGGGGAAAAATAATGAGTCAACTAACCACCCTGGTGCAGAGAATTCGCTATCCCCAGAATCCCCAGCCCTAAACTCCGGAACTTTCTGGATCCTGTCCCCTTCTCCCAACATGTTGAAAGGATCAGACTGATAAAACGTGATGAAACACAATGAGTCATGATGAAACTCATTCACAACTGAAGCGGGTCCTTTTGCTTCAGCACTGGAGGGGGATGAGTTGGCGGAGCTGGCGGTGTTGGGGGTCGATTCTTCTGATCCTCGAGCAAATCTTCAATCCATCCGATTTTGCTGGCAGGGCACGACAGCACAGGCCGGTCAGCATCTTCAGCTGTTGGACTCGCTACATGGATGAAGGTATTCCGAACTTCAACAGCTTCAGGTGGATAAGCAGGAAAGTCCTCAAGCAAAATAAAAAGGGAGCATGGGTCGGTATATAGGCTTGATCACTGAATGGAAGAAACTGCGTGACTGTGAAGTGTACATTCCTACTTGATTCGTTTCAAGGACTACACAACAGAAGAAGAGTCCACTGAAACGAGCAGCAACGAAAACCTTTTTGATTGATGCTGAGAGACAGATTCAAGTTCAGGAAGGGAAATCTCCAGACTTGGCCACTCTCTGCGGTCCAGCAGTGCTGAATTGTTGTCACTGGGGCCAATAGGTGCTTGCCGTTCTGCGAACACGTCGCCAAAGACATGGCTTCCGCCCGAATCGAATGGAAACGATGCCATGAGGCTTCAGGGAACTACTTTGGGCCGCTGGAGAGGCAGCAACAAGGTAGTCACTGTTGTGAGTGCATGCGGAAATCTCATTAAGCTACTTATGGTACTCTGATTGTATCTGATTGGATCTGATTGTATCTGATTGTATTCCGTTGTGCCCCTTGCTGCCGCGCCGCTCATGCAGTACTGTTCAACCTCTGATTCTAGCACTCCAAGCATTTTAGGATGGTGAGAGCTCATCTGGTGAACAAGTTCATCCCGCAAGACCTTGGACAATCGCTGCGCCCAGCGGTTCACGGAAAGTGTGGCAACAGAAGCTGGGCGGATCGATTTGAGGAGGGCCAAGAGACGTGTAGGGTAGTGCAAGGGGAGCCATGTTGATCAGTGCCACCAAGCCCAAGAATCTTGCTGGGGATGTTTGTGAAGAAGTGAATGCCTGCAACAGTATCCAGCCCTCCAAGCCATCCAAGCTGATCATTTGACAGATGTCTCTGTGTCAAAATATGGTACCCAAAGAATTGACGGTTTATCGTGGCCGAATCCCGAAGTCCTGGTTCTTCGGAAAATACTTCCATTTGACATTCAGAACCCGTTCATCCTCAAGAGCTGCTTCTGGTGTGCGAGTTTGCAAACCTGAGAGTGACATCACCATACATCACCTAGCCATTGCAGCAAGGGTATGATTAGTATGGAAATGTCTGTTCATCTTTTGGCTGAGTTTTCCACCATCAACGTGAGTTTTTTGCAACTCCGAGAGGCATAGACTCGTCATGACTCGTCAATCCAGACCTAGAGCGAGACAAAGACTCCCAGGACAAGGACTCCATGCGGGCATGGCGCCTTGAGGTGTTCCTTCACATGTCCAGGGCCGCGAGTCGCGAGCTGCGACATCGTTGGGCTATGTTGGGCTCATCAATTCCTCAATGAGATGAGTAGCCTTCTTTACCATCCCCCCAACCAACATAGACCCCCGAATAGCATGGAATAGCCAATGTTTGCATGACAGTCTTCCAACCCGCACCTCATGGCAGGGTCTACTTTTAGCTGGGTGGTGGAATGGCAGTTCATCACCTTTGCCGAATTTGGTGTGGGTCGCAGCCGCAGCCAAGAATCTGATTCTATGAATCCTGTGGGTATACATGTGGCATCAATTGGAACCACGGAACGGTCACGACCTGGGGCGGACGACCAACAACCAAGACCAGCTGCAGTCTGTGATTGCTTATCCTTTAGCGACTTCCTGAAAAGATCAGGATTCAAAACGACCAAACCGAATCGCTTGACCATGTTAATCCACATAGGCCCACAAACAAATCAAACAATGAGGAAAGCGGTCAGGATTACATTGAGCTGTGGCACATGATCCGACAATGATGGATGCCCAGCTTTACTCTTCTCATGTCCTGAGATATCTGAGATGGAGGCCCAAATCCTTCCTCGACTTGCATCCATAAATGAGAAGCGTTCACATCTGTTGCACTCTCCTTAGGGCTGCCGATCTAAGTTTGGGGCCACTGGACTCACTGCAAGAACAGCTACTATTGGTCAGAACAAACGCATAGCCGCACAGCTGTGTCAAGACACTGCATCGGCCGGTTCAGCTGTGGCCAAGAATCTGTATTCAACCTGGTGAAATCAGTGTTTCAGTGGCTCATTAACCCAGCGGTAAACATCACATGCTGCCCTGCAGCCCACCGGCCGAAGGTCTGACCCATAGACACCATGCGAGACTCCTCAAGCAGCATGAAGGAAAACGTTCCAAGGCCAGGACTCGCAAGCATCCAGGGTGTCGTAACCTTCAATGGAGGCGAATGGCATTGGAAGACTTCGCAATGCTTCGTGCTGTGTCTGAAGAAAAACTTCTGCCAAACGTCGCCGAGGCAGTCACGATCCGGCACCCAAAGGGATGTTAAAGCCGCACCAAAGCTGCTCACAGTGGCATACCTCAAAAAATACCCAAGCCATTTCAAACCAAGGAAAACAATACATACCCTCCCCAAAATCAACATAGACCCTGAAAATAGTCACCTTTTCTGGAAACTAATGCCCTATTTGGCAGGGTCTATGTTAATTGATTTGGGGTAGGGTGAATAGTATAGAGTTGTATAGATATGATATAGGGATAAGGAAATATGCATATGTGAGTATTAATGTATACACAGGTGTAGGTCTTTACAAACATGATTCAAATGTAGATTGATATTTATACATGTATATGTATGTGCCTGTTGTGTGTGTGTGTAAAAATACATGCACATACACATACACATACAGATATAAGTACAAATATACGTATGCGTATACATATACGTATGCACCTGCTATTGCGTATACATGTATCATATATACATATCACACACAAAGATATACGGTTACAGTATATATTTATATATTTGTACTGTATTTAAATACAGTATTTATATACGCATATTCATATTCATATTCACATACAGTTCCATGTGTGTGTGTGTGTCTGTTTGTGTGCATGTGTATGGTGCAGCTGTGATATGGACATATGATATGAATAGAGGCACTATGTGTGATACAAATACATACACATACATATACCTGAGAAGGGGGGAACGAAAGCCAGCATCCCATCTACCCCTATTTTCCATCATACTTTTCACCCAGAGACTCTTCAATACATTTCACCCATATACTTTTCACCCAGAAACTCTTCTTGCACAGACTTTTCACCCAGATACTTTTCACCCAGAGACTCTTCACCCAGAAACTCTTCTTGCACATACATTTCACCCATATACTTTTCACCCAGAGATTCTTCACCCAGAAACTCTTCTTGCACAGACTTTTCACCCAGAGACTCTTCACCCAGAAACTCTTCTTGCACATACTTTTCACCCATATACTTTTTACCCAGAGACTCTTCACCCAGAAACTCTTCTTGCACATATTTTTCACCCAGAGAGACTCTTCACCCAGAAACTCTTCTTGCACATACATGTCACCCATATACTTTTCACCCAGAGATTCTTCACCCAGAAACTCTTCTTGCACAGACTTTTCACCCAGAGACTCTTCACCCAGAAACTCTTCTTGCACATACTTTTCACCCATATACTTTCACCCAGAGACTCTTCACCCAGAAACTCTTCTTGCACATACTTTTCACCCATATACTTTCCACCCAGAGACTCTTCACCCAGAAACTCTTCTTGCACATACTTTTCACCCATATACTTTTCACCCAGAGACTCTTCACCCAGAAGCCCTTCTTGCACATACTTTTCACCCATATACCTTTCACCCAGAGACTCTTCACCCAGAAACTTTTCTTGCACATACATTTCACCCATATACTTTTCACCCAGAGATTCTTCACCCAGAAACTCTTCTTGCACAGACTTTTCACCCAGAGACTCTTCACCCAGAAACTCTTCTTGCACATACTTTTCGCCCAGATACTTTTTACCCAGACACTCTTCACCCAGAAACTCTTCTTGCACATACTTTTCACCCATATACTTTTCACCCAGAGACTCTTCACCCAAAAACTCTTCTTGCACATACTTTTCACCCATATACTTTTCACCCAGAGACTCTTCATCCAGAAACTCTTCTTGCACATACTTTTCACCCATATACTTTTTACCCAGAGACTCTTCACCCAGAAACTCTTCTTGCACATACTTTTCACCCATATACTTTCCACCCAGAGACTCTTCACCCAGAAACTCTTCTTGCACATACTTTTCACCCATATACTTTTCTCCCAGAGACTCTGCACCCAGAAACCCTTCTTGCGCATACTTTTCACCCATATACTTTTCACCCAGAGACTCTTCACCCAGAAACTCTTCTTGCACACCCATATACTTTTCACCCAGAGATTCTTCACCCAGAAGCTCTCCTTGCACAGACTTTTCACCCAGAGACTCTTCACCCAGAAACTCTTCTTGCACATACTTTTCGCCCATATACTTTTTACCCAGAAACTCTTCACCCAGAAACTCTTCTTGCACATACTTTTCACCAATATATTTTTCACCCAGAGATTCTTCACCCAGAAACTCTTCTTGCACAGACTTTTCACCCAGAGACTCTTCACCCAGAAACTCTTCGTGCACATACATTTCACCCATATACTTTTCACCCAGAGATTCTTCACCCAGAAACTCTTCTTGCACATACTTTTCACCCATATACTTTTCACCCAGAGACTCTTCACCCAGAAACTCTTCTTGCACATACTTTTCACCAATATACTTTTCACCCGGAGACTCTTCACCTAGAAACTTTTCTTGCACATATTTTTCACCCATATACTTTCACCCAGAGACTCTTCTTGCACCTACTTTTCACCCATATACTTTCCACCCAGAGACTCTTCACCCAGAAACTCTTCTTGCACATACTTTTCACCAATATACTTTTCACATCTTTTCACCCAGAGACTCTTCACTCAGAAACTCTTCTTGCACAGACTTTTCACCCAGAAACTCTTCACCCAGAAACTCTTCTTGCACAAACTTTTCACCCATATACTTTTCACCTAGAGACTCTTCACCCAGAAACTCTTCTTGCACATTTAATGGTCCCACATCGGAGCCTCAATTTTTCCATTGTGTTTCCATCCCATCAATTTCCGTCATTTTACTCTTATTTTACTTGGGATCATTTTGGTCCCACATCAGAGCCGCAATTTTTCCAATGTTTTTTCCATTGTTTTTCTCCACTTCTTCATCATAGTCCAGTCTCTCAATTTTTCCATTGCTTTCCCATCGATCCACGTCGACGCCATAGTGTTTTTTTTCATTGCTTTTCCATAGTTTTACTCGACACCATTTTCCCCTTCATTCCAGTCTCCCCAATGTTTTTTTCACAGGTTTTCCTCCAGTTTTACTCAATCGTCTTTCTTCCATGGTTTTCTTTCCGTGCGTCTACTCCATAGTGGTCACACATCAAAACTGCCATTTTTCCATTGCTTTTCCAATGTTTCACGCGTGCTTTATGTAGAAACAGAGTATAAACCACTATGGGCCACAAACCAAGTTAACCTGCAACGCACTATTTCTTGAGCCACGCACGCAACAGTATATGAGGTGAAAAGGATATATATACATGTGGTACTACTGTGCATCAACACCCCCCGTGCAGTGTAATTACCGCACAGGAAGTGAAGCTGCAAATTAAAGGGATGCACTACGGAGTTAAGGGATGCCATTAGTAACAAAACAACAAAACCCAAGGACCAAACCCTCCGCAGCACGGCCTAACCTTTCGTAGTACTTCCATCTTCACCTCAGGCGTGCAAACAATTTGCAAACAAGAGCAAAAGCTGACAATGCATATCGTTCGGCGCAACTTCAAGTATTATGGCCAACGGATGCAGTGAACATCAATTCGGTCGAATGCAGCAATATCAGGTTTTGTGCTCTACCGGGCTTGCGGTCGAACATGCACAGTGGAAAAAGGACTTGGCCCGTTACATAGGCCTGCGTTTCCACGCGGCATCAAAAAGTTCTTGTGGACGCCCGGGAGCTTGCCAAAGCAAAATGATATGAATTATGGCAAAATGCTGAATTCGGTTTTGATGTGAACCCGCAGGGAAGCTTTTAGAAATGCTTCAAAGCTGCCTTATCTTCGCAAGGCAAGAGCTTCCGCTCTGCGGTTCATGCAACTACCAGCCGTGTGCTATGCCAGAAGGAATCATGGCAAGAATAAGATGAGTGCCAAATGCCTGCTTCAAATTATGTGCATTCAAAGCGTTAATGAAACTTTTGTGAACTTGATTGAGTTGGCAAAAATTCCGACTTAGCACACTTGTGTTGGAAACAATCGTGGAATCGCTCACCCACGCGTGCAAAATGAAGCTAGTCGCCTAACCGAATTAGATCCGAAAAGGCAACAGCTTCCGCTGTGCGACACCTCACATTGAGAGAAAACTGCCCCGCCTCAGATGAAGATAAATCCACCAGGCGAGAGGTTCCCCTCCGCGGTGCCTCAGCGATAGCCCGACCAACGTCGATCCCGGTATTGGTGGCCTTGATTTCGACGGCGCCAATCTTCCCACTCCTGGTCAGTCCACTGATTGTAGTAGTCATTCCATTCCTGCTGACTGTAGCCATGAGTGGGCCCCTGATGAGAACCATAGCCAGGACGCGAGGACCTGGTAACATCCGGGTTCTGCTGCCTTGTTGCAGGTAGGGGT